TAATTAAGAATATATTAGTGAAAATAATTATTTCATAATATAGATAATTATAAATTAAGATTAAGATAACTAATTAGTTTAATTAAAATTTAAAAAATAAATTAAAAAGTTTAAAATGATATTAAAATGTGTAATCATTTTCCAAAAAAGGAAAATGACATGGAATATGAGACTGACAAAAACGGCAATATGAACATGGTATGTGGGACGGAGAAAGTACATTATAAAAAGTTTTTAACTTTTTTTTTTTTTTTTTTGGAAAATCATCAGCCTAAACATGTATACATACATTTGAAAATTTTATTATTACAAACTAATTTATGTTAATTAAATGTAAATAAATTTTTATTTATATTATACTCCCTCCATTCCATAAAGAAGTATTCATTTGCTTTTTGCACGTAATTTTAAAAATATTAGTATTATATTGAGATATAGTAGGAATAAAATAGAAATGACTAAAACAACCTTATTAATATGTGTGATATAAAGGTAATGACATTTGTGTAATATATTGTAAGTTGTAAGGGTATTTGTAATGTTAGATAGATAGTACAATTATTAAAAAAGGAAATTGAAACTTTGTTATGGGACAGACTAAAATAGAAAAATGGATACTTTGTCATGGGACGGAGGGAGTATAAAATTTCATTACCTACAACATATATTTATTTTAAATATAATATTTAAAATACATTTTAATATATTTTTATTCAAATATATATTGTGCTCCCTCCGTCCATTTACAAGGATTACATTTACTTTTGACGCGGTGTTTAAAAAATAATAGTATTTTAATTATAGTGAGCAGTTAAAAGTAGTGTAATGACATTTTTGCCTTATTTTTTTTTCTGTAAAAGTAATAATGTGAGGTAAAGTAAGGGTATTTGTGGAAAAAAGGGTAAAATATTTAATGAAATGTAAATTTTGTAATTTGACGTCCTAAAATAGAAACATGTAAACTTTGTAAGGGGGCGAAGGGAGTATTATATTTGAATTAATACTCCATCCGTCCACAAAATAAGTATGCATTTATTTTTGGGGTGGAGATTAAGGAATAATAGTATTTTAATTATATTGGGTAGATAAAAGTAGTGAAATAACATTTTTGCCCTTGCTTTTTTGGTATAAAAGTAACGATGTGATATAAATTAGGGGTATTTGTGAAAAAAATAAAGTATTTAATGAAATAGTTACTCTATAATTGGACGTCCCAAAATAGAAACATATATACTTTCTAATTAGACGGAGGGAATATTATTACTTATCACTTAAATTAAACTTCTAACGGAAAATTCCAACTAGCAATTATTAAAGTTATTTTCATTTTCTATTATATTTATCAGTTCTAAAATAAGCACAATCTGCGACGTAACGTAGCCAATTATTTACTACTAATATAGTCAGTAATAATAAATCTCTGTGAACAAATCAGTAAATAATTTATTTTATTAATTCAAATGGTGTAATAATAATCATTTATTATAATTACGTACCATATAAATAAGGGCTATTTAGAATATTAATAATAGTACTCCCTTCCGTGGAGTTCTACCTATCATATTCACGTTGCTGTTTCCGTCCGTCTCACATACCATGTCACTTTCTTTTCTTAAAAAATTATTACACACTTTAATTTTATTTTAAACTTTTTAATTTATTTTTTTTTAATTTTAATTAAACTAATTAGTTATCTTAATCTTAATTTATAATTATTTATATTATAAGATGATTATTTTCACTAATACATTTTATTTTATCTACTAATTACACTCCTCATAAAATACCGTGTCTACGGTGCAGCAGATACAGTACCTGAGACGGAGGTAGTAATAAATATTGGTATCATTTAAAAACTTAATTGTTTTTTTTTTACTATTATAAATTTTTAATCAAGACTAGTCCAATCATTATTACAAATAAAACACATTTTTCTTTTCTACACGTAACAATTTTCAATTCTCTGATTTTTTTTTTTTTTTTAACATTGAATTGGAAATTTAATTTAATTTAATTATTATTTTTTTTTTATGTGCGAAAAAAACTACTAAGAACAAATTTTTTTGGGTGTGCTTGTTTGGGGGATTGGATTTCCAATCTACTATTCATCCTATATTTAAGGTTTTTTTTTTTTCTCGGTTCAATAATAGGGTGATGAAAAAGAAAATAAACACAGGGGGGAAAGAAGAATGTGCTCTATTAATAAAAGAACATGTTGTTCCGTAAAGGATGATCTGGTGGTGTAGGAGTTGGACTTGTGACCGTGAGGTTATGAGTTTAAACCCCCGACGCTTCAAATTACTTGTCACACATTATTCGCCTAGGGTGACTTTCTAACATTTATTAGAGATCCAACAAATCTATTTTTTCAAAAACAAAGGTTCTTTTTGTTTTGTTTTTTTTTTTTTTTTTTGTTTTTTTGTTTAGGGGCAATAAAAACAATGGAATGGCTTTGGTACAAATTAAGTAGTAAAATTTTATTTAAAAAAAAAAAACCAAACAAACACTTCCTAAGTATTATTGTACTACCTTTTTAGATTTGATATATCTAAAATATAATAATTTTATATTTATTTTTAGAAAGTGAGTGGCTTTGTTCATACCTTTTTATATCATGTTGTAATTTATGACAATGACTTTACTTTTTAAAAACAGGATGCTATCTGCTTTATTACATATAAAATATTTTGATAATACATATTTTTATCTAATATAATATTGATAAAATCATGTGGGTGTGTTTTTTACACAATTTTTTAATATATTTTTTCAAAAAAATTAAGATATTGCACATATTTATTAATTTTATATTATCTACACAATTCTTTATACTTCACATAAAAAAAAAAATATTTATTCAAACAAAAATACAAAACAAACACACACGTATTGTTTAGTATAAATATATATATTGTGTTAAAATATATGTAATGATGTCATATTATCAATTTATATGTTAGTAATTAAATTTAGTTAATACTCTTTTTCTCCGATTTACTTTTTGTATAAAAGTTTTTAATATTAATATTATATACAGTATAAAAAGATATATAAATTATTAAATTTACTTATTTAAATAATGATGATAATATTTTTGAAATAAAATACTCCTATAAATTATTATCTCTCCGTCCCATATAATTTGTCTATATTTTCTATTTTCGTCCGTCCCACATAACTTGTCCTTTCTATTTTTGAAAATATAATTATGCACTTTAATCGCATTTTAAATTTTAAATTTTATAATTTTCTTAATTTTAATTAAACTATTTACTTATCTTAATCTTAATCTATAATTATTTTTACTAATACACTTCTTAATTACTTACTAATTATACTTTACCTAAATTCTTGTGTCTACGGTAATACACCCATATTACATGGGATGAAGGGAGTAAAATTTTTTAAAGTTATGTGAACACAATTATTAAAGAAATATACTGCCTCCGTCTCATTGAAAGGTTACTATTTTTCATTTTCGTCGGTCCCAAAACAAGGTTACTATTTCCTAATTTAGTAATTGTACTACATACTTCACATAATAAATACCCTTTCAACTTACAATATATTACACATGCAATTACTTTTATATTATACCATACTAATAGGGATATTTTTGTCCTTTTTTACTACAATTCAATATAATACTAATATTAAAAAATTTACGTGCAAAAAGCAAACGCCACCCTTCTAATGGGACGGAGAGAGTATCTCTCCCTCCCTCAATTCTAGTTAAATTGTCTCATTTAGCTTAGACACATAAATTTAGGTATTGTGTAGTTACTAAGTAATTAAAAAGTGTATTAGTGAAATTAATTACTCTCTCCCTCTGTCCGCTTTTAAGATCACATTTACTTTTTGCGTCATTGTATTTTAACATTAAAAATATTTTTATGTTTGTATAATTTTTTTCTACAAATATCCTTATAATATTATAAGACACCATTGAAAGTATTTTTGCAATTTATTCTTAATTTATAATAAATTTTGATATAATAATTAATATTCAAATATCAACGTGTAAAAAATAAATGAGACCCTTAGAGCCGGACGAAAATAGTATAATTTAATAAAAATAATTATAAATTAAAATTAAGATGATTAAATAATTTAATTAAAATAAAAAATATAAATTATGAATTTTAAATTGTAATTAAAATGTATAATTATATTTCTAAAAAAAAAATAAATTACGTGAAACCATAAATAAAAATATAAGATAAAGTAAGTGAGATGGAGGGAGCAAATTACATTAATTTTAGACATATAAAAATAAAAAAATAAATAAATTTTAGTAATATTGCCTATTGCCTTTAGGAAAACTATGACCAATAACATTTCTTTAAATAAAAAAATTATCTTTTTGTTTCAAATATTTTATAATTTTCTTTTATGTTCCAAATATTTTATAATATTTTTATAATATGAAATAATTAAATATATTTAATCTATATTTTACAATTTATCTTACCACATCACATAAATAAATATATATTTTTATTTTTATCGTATTCCTTAATTTTTAAATTATTTTATTTAATATTTGATATTTAATTTATTTATTTTTATTGGAAACAAATATTTGATCGTATTTAGAATAAAATAAATAAATAAAAAAACACCTTAAAAAACGCAAAATAGTCCGAATCAGATCCACGATGTATTTCGTACAATTTCATGAATATATATATAGATAATAATAATATCATCATTATTATATATGTCCTAAATTAAAATGTCATAATCTAATTCAATTACTCACATCAAACGCACGAGTGCATCGAGAACCTCCCAGAACGTTACCCAATGGGTCCAATCACATGCCGCCACGTGTCCCGCATAATACCTGGCTCTGCTTTGCTTTGGTCCACCCGTCAAACATAAACCGTCGAATCATATCCCTCCACGTGTCCTACCCTCCTCCCGCCTCGTCAAAATCCTTCCGTTAACCCTAATCTCTCTCTCTCTCCGTGTGCGTCTCTCGTCAACGTATCATTTCTACGAGAAAAAAAAAAATACAAAAAAAAAAAGAAAAAAAAAAAACACAAAAGAAATTTTTGTGGGAAAAAAAAACAGAGGAAACGGAAAAGGAGATCTTCGATCGATGGGGAAGCTGATATGCGACTCGACGGCGTCGTCTCCGGTGGTCCCCTGGCGCGACCCGACGGCAACGCCGTCGTCGGATCTCGCCGATGCGGCGGTGCAGAATCCGCCGGCGGGGGCGGCGGCGGCGTGGGAAAGTGTGCCTGGATTGGAAGATCAGCAGAAGAGGCATTTGACGCGTCTGTACAACAAAGGAGTGCTGTGGAAGCATCCGGAGGACAAGAGCTTGAGCGTCGTGTTCAGGCTGATGCACGGCGGAGAGGTCGAGGCGGACGGGAATTGCCTCTTCACGGCGGCGCGTAAGTCGATGGCGTTGGAGGCGGCGGCGCGTGAGTTGAGGAAGAGGACGGTGAGGAGATTTGTTGAGGATCTCGAATCCTTGGACGAGGAGACGAGTAAATTTATCGAATCGGCGATTAGGCATATGTACTCGCCAGATCTGAAGTGCGGTTGGGGAATCCATGTCGTCCAGGAGGTTAAGCTTCTAGCGAAGAAGCAAGATCGTGCGGTTTTGGACTCCGCCATTGATGAACTCGTCCAGCTCGGAATGCAACGGTAAAAACCGAGATTTACTCTCGCCTGTCCTTTTTTTTTTTTAATCAATTTATTTTACTGTGTTTTTTGATTCTCTGGATCTGTTGATTGAATTGAACCTTACCTCGTTCCTCGCTACGGATCTGGATTTCGTAATTAACTGAAACCGATTATACCATATGTTCTATCGGAATTTAGAATATGTTTTGGCGGTGTTAAGATTTTTAGAAAACCATGAAAGGAATTCTCAGACGAGTTTGGTAGCCATGGATCTTGCTTGGTAGAATCAAAACACAACACACTGCTTTGGATTCGAATTTTTTTGGAATGGAAAACAATGGAGAGATCTTTTCTATGTGTTTAGCTGTTGAAAATGATGTTTTTGGATTAGAATATCTTTTAACCAAAAGCCTCCATTTGTTGTTTGGTTAGAATCTAAGGAGATTGTTGCAACGTGGTTTTATATAACTAATCGACCGTTGTAATAATTTGTCGATATCTTTGCTAACTGGGATCGAGGAGATTTTCGGATTTGACGGTTTGTGTTGGTTATACTTCCAAGTCTTTGAGGGGAGAGTTAACCTTTTTAAGAATCTGTTGGAAAGCTGTAACGACTTTACGAATTTATTTTATAGGAAAGAATGCAACGTGTCCGTTTCTTTCGAATTTTAGAATGGTGCAATTAAATTCGAAGCATTGAGATCCACGACGAATGCATCCAATTTGTGTATTTATGTATGGTATGGTATGACATTGCCTGAATCTTGCCTTTTTGGTTTTGATTGATTGGTTGCGCCGATTCTTTTGGATTTTAGAATTTCTTTGTTGCATTTAAATTTGAAGCATTGAGATCTACGTCGAATGCATCCAATGTGTGTATTTATGTATCACATTACCTGAATCTTGCATTTTGGTTTTGATTGATTAATTCGCCGATTCTTTCGAATTTTAGAAATAGTTTGATTTGCCAAATTTAAATTTGAAACATTGGAATCTACGACGAATGCATCCAATGCATCTATGTGGTTAATTTTTTTTTGTTGGTTGACTCTCGTTTGTAGATAATTAAATAAATGATCTGACAATTATTTATTTCATCTCACATTTTTTTTTTCGATTTTGTTTGTTTATCGAAGGGAAATGGCTGCGGAGTCCATATACAAAGAAAGATGCATATCCGTGGAAGACGGCCCTAGCTGGGCCAAGTACATGTCGATCTCGGGCTCGTCCGACGACGAATACGATATCATCAACATGCAGTACACCGAGGAAGGCTTATTGACTATAGACGAGAACAGGGATGGACGAGCTGCTGCGTTTGGTGACGATATCGCAATCGAGTGCCTCGCCACAGAATTCAAAAGGGAGATTTTCGTGGTAAGATTTACATTTGAATCGCTACATCTTTTGACAATTGAAATCGATTTTAATTTTGCTGATTGTTGGTTTTGATTAATCTGTCATCTCCAGTTACAAGCTCACGGATCCGATGCCATGGTCGACGAAGACAATTGTGTCTTCTTCTTACCTCATCGCCCGAGAAGCGAAATTTGCGGACCTCCGTTCTTCCTATTCATGAAAGGAACCGGTAAGAAAAATCGACACACTTTCTATCTTTGTCCGCTCGATTTAGGGTGTGTTTGTTTTGCGTCTTGGTTTGAAAGAATATTTTTTATCTGAGATATAGAGAATTGTCTAGGTAGTATAAAAATAATAAATGCATGTATAGTATACTTCCTCAGTCCCTTTTGAAATAAGCCGTTTGAGGTTTTGTAGTAGATTGAGAAATAATACTCCTTCATTCCGTCATCCAATTGTGTGCTCATTTGACCGGATACGGGTTTTAAGAAAAATAGGTAAAAGTAGAAATTTTTATTTTATTGGATAAAGAAAAAGTAGAAAAAGAGAAGTGAGAATAGATTTGGATGACGGAGAAAGTAGTATTTTATTGGTTTGTGGAAGTGTCCAAGAGGTTTTGATATTTTTATCCTTTATTTTTTTTTATAAAGTAATTGTTTGTTTAATAATATGTTTGTAATTTAGATAAAAGTTAAGTGTATTTTGGTATAATAAATTATTATTTTTACTAAAAAAAAGAAATCAGTACTTTTGAGTGGGACAAAAAATAGTAAAAAGGGTATGTTGATTTATGGCGGAGGGAGTATTATTTTTTTTTTTTGAGTAAAAGAACAAAGCCAATTTTAACCGAAACGATTTTTTCTTACAGGATGGTGTGGGGCGGGCGCGGATCATTACGAGCCACTCATTGCGCACGGCTCGCCGGCTGTTTCGCAAGACAAAGTTGCGCTGGTACTTTAAACTATTCTTCGATTTCTTCCTTCCCTATTTAATCGTCTGCAGCAATTAATAGTCCATTCGAAAAGTTTTCCCCGAGAGTTCCCCCCCTCCCTCCCCCGGCAGAATTCGCGCGATTAATTTTTCAAAAAAATTCTGTAGGATTTGTAGTCGTCGTCTTTGTCAGTCATTGTTCGATTAGCGAAATTCACAATTGTTGTTGTGATCGAGAGTTTCAGCAGCAGCGGCAAGCAGACCGATCTGCATTGCTGCTGCTGCAGTGTGGGATGAGTAGGCCGCGCCGCGGCTTTTTTTTTTTCTTTTTTTAAGCCCGGCGATTAATTACGATCGCCGGGCCGGTTTTCTTGTGTAATTTTTTTTTTAAATTTTAATTTTAAATTTTTTTTTTGGGTGAGATTTTCGATAGGGAGAGAGTCGTAGTAGATGGTGTTTTTTGGCATTTTTGTTGTATGGGAGATTTTTTGGAGGATGAAGTCTTTTTGTTTTTTAACATTTTTTAAATTTTCCCTGTTTATTAATGTCTCTATGGCTCCTTGTGTTCATTTTTCATTTTAATTTAATTGATGAGTTGATAGTTTCTTGTCATCGAAAATTATGTCCATTTGGTCGGAAGTGAATTTTAATAAAGTAGGTATAGTAGTTATTTATTTTTTTTGTTTTTATAATGAAAATAATACAAAAATAGTGTATAAAATGAAGACAAAATTATGTTTTGACAATAACTCAAAAAGGAAAGTGGCTATATAAATTTTGACAGGTTTAGACAGGTTTTTTTGATATTTTGGAATTTTGAAAATTTAAAAGATTAATATTTGATTTGATATTTTATATATATAAAAAAAAAAGTATATTTGATGTGATATTTTCAGATCGAATAGAGTAAAATAAGTGAATTTGATTGCGTAAACAAAGCAGACTCCTGATAGCATTCTAACCTGTTGTTCTAATATACATGTATTTTATTAAATAGTACTCTCTTCGTCCTAAATATTTTGCAATATTTTTTTTTTTTCGGTTGTTCCAAACTCACTATAATATTTCTAAATTTAAAAATAATTAATAATATTTATATACATATATTAATATACATTTCATTTATTTTATTGCATCACTCAAATAAAAAAAAAAATTATTTATCTCTTCAATCACACTTAATATTCAAATTATCTCAAATTATCGTACTTAATACTTCTCACTTAAATTTTTGTGCCAAACACAAATGTTGCACGGTCTTTTGAATGGAAGGAGTACTAGTTTTAATTTTTATTTTACATTCATGAAACATATGTATATGTATATATATGTATATGGTGGTCGTTTAGTCAGTTTATATATATAGTATAGTTTATTATTTTTGTCCGTTTCAAAATAATAGTCTCATTTTCCATAAATAATCATATCACTATAAAACTACCATTACTTTTTTATTATTATTACACAATTACTATTATTTTTTACACTAACACACTCAAAAGAGTAAAAAAAAAATTTTACACGTACTTTTTATACACTACCTGTATAATATCAATATTTCTTAAATCTAGTACCGAATACAATCCAGACTATAGTTTTGAGACGGAGGGAGTATATATATCAGCACCTGCAGCACTTTAATTATTTAATTTTTAAAAAATGGTGTGGCTTGTCTTAATTCTATATATATTATCTCATAACTTAAATATTAATTACATAAAATTTCTCTAATCAAAATTACTAAAATAACATTTAAACCGAATGACAATATCCTAATGGTTCATTATTTTTTGTATATTAAAAAAAATCAAAATAATTTATATCATTTTTCTATGTATCAAAAATATTGAATTATATATGGTTATGATATTAAAATTTTTTAATACACTATTATATCATACTGAAATATTAGTATTTTGATATAGGATTTCAACAATTCGATATTTTTTCATCTCTAAATGTATTAATATTTTTTAGATCTTAATTGATTAGTATATGCTTTAAAATTCTATTTATCTAAATAATTTTTTGTTACATTTTTTTTTTAGATTTTATATTGGTTGTTATTCAATATTCTTTTATTGAAATTAAAATTTTGATTTGTTATATAAGCTTTATTTGTATTTAATCATTAAATATTGATACAACAAAGCTTATCTCAATAATTGCTTAATTGGGCAATTTTTATTTCAAATTAATCACTATTTTATATAAACAAATTTATTTGTAACCAATAACTACAATTATAATAAATAGATTTAAGTTATAACACAATATAAATATTTCACAGTTAAATATAATAAAATAATTTTTAAAATATTCAAAAAAATATTTATTTATATCATATTAACTATTCATTTTTTTTTTCCAATTTTCTTTTCAAAAATTTCAAAACTATTATCTAATTAAATTCACACTAGTACAGCTTCACAACTAAATTATACTTCCTCCATTGTATAAATTTATGTCTATTTTACCATACTCGAATTTTTTTAAAAAAATATAGATAAAAATAATTTTTTTTTCTTTTTTTTTTAATGGTAAAAAAATAGAAAAAATGATATTATTTTTACTAAAAGAAACGAAAATAAATTTATGTAACGACCAAAAAAAAATTGAAAATAAATTTAAGTGACCGATAGAGAAATTAATAAAAAAATATATTTATATTTATAGTTAGAATGCCAAAATATCCTTTATACTTGATAACAAACCAAACCTTAAATGAAGGAAACTAATAGAGCCTGTTCTTTTTAAACCCCATTTTTCAATTGGGATTCCAAATAATAATAATAACATTAATAATAATAATAATAATAATAATAATAAATAAATAAATAAATAAATAAATATATTTTATACAAAAGTAAAAAAATAAGTAAAAAATACTTATTATAAAAAATAAAAAAGTCATTACATAAAATTAAAAAAATTAAATATTTAATCTGAAATAATATATTTTTTTGATATTTTTAACAAAGATCCGAGCCGAGCCAAATTTTAAGTTGCCAAATTTTAAGTGTTCGTTAACGTTCGCGAACAAAGCTCGGACTCGTTCGTTAAACTTTCGAGCTCGTTCGTAGTGTTCGAGCTCGGCTCGTTAAGAATTTTTGTTGTTTGAGCTCGTGTTCGTGTTTGACTCGTTTAGGCTCGATTAAGCTCGTTCGAATTTGTTCGAACTCGTTTGTCTTATTTTTAAAATTTATATATAAATTATAAAAAAAAATTAAAATTATTTTATTTATATATTTTAAATTAATATTTTATTTATTTATAACTCATAATTTTATATGTATATATAATATTTATAATAAATATATTATTTAAATGCGAACAAAACTCAGGCTCGTTCGTTAACCAAACGAGCCTGTTTATGTTATTCGGCTCAGCTCGTTAACGTTCGCAAACAAGCTTTAACCGAGCCGAGTTCACGAATGGCTCGATTTGTCTAACAGCTCTATCCGTACCACATATAAAAAACCATTTTATTTAAAAATATTGAACGAACCAAGCCCCTGTGTGCCCGAATTATTGTTTGTATCTTAAAATTTCCAAATAAAATAGGCTCACATCTACTTTCCGAGACTCTTGGGAGTTTTTTTACCAGGAAAAAAATATATTTAATGTGATACTCCCTCCGTTCCATATTTATATATCCATTTATTTTTTGCACGGACTTTTAAAAATATTAATATTATATTAAAATAAAATAAAAATAAAGATAAAAAAATTAAATTATCCCTATTAGTATTAAATGATATCAAGGTACAATTTATCTCCTATATTAAATCCTTCAACATAAAAAAACCATTTAACTACGACACTCTATTATACTACTGCATTGCGTTAACAACAAAAGTTTTAGGGCTTACCGGAGAGAGTTTGGAACAAAATGGAGCGACCGGGGTTAGTTGACACTCTGCTGCAAAACCTCGGCTTCTGCCATTGCCATCGGATCATCTTCCTTTTCGCCTTCTCGCTCCTCCGCCTGCTTTTTCCTCTGCAAGTCTTCGGCCGCCTGCGCTGCTGCCCGTTGCTCCGCCTGAAGCCGCTGCATTTCCTGCTCCTGTTGCTGCCTTTCGAACCAGGTGTCCGCGTCTGCCCAAACTGACAATATTCCGAACCACCATATATAAGTTAGTCAGCCTTGTATTGTAAATTCATGATTTTTTATTTCTTTTTCCTTTTTCTAGAAAGGTAGAGATAGGGTCATTACTTTTTACGTAGAAAAAGTAATGGAAGGCAAATGGCACGTGGATTTACACTATGTTTTTCGGGAAAATTGCTTATAATCTACCTGTAGTTTGAAAAGTCGGCACCATACTTTCCTGTTATTTAAAAATTGCACAAGGGCTTCCCCACGAAATTCCCTTGTAATTCAAAATATTGCATAAAATCCCCTAAACGGGGAATTTTGTATAATGTTTCGAAAACAAAAAGGAGTCTCGTGCGACTTTTAGATCATAAGAGAGAATGATCAAACTTTCCAAACCACAAGTGAGTCATAAGTGATTTTGCCATGATTTTAAACTTGTTTTCACACTATTTACCAAAATCTCTCTAAAAAATATCATATCCAAAACTTATTTTTCATTGCATTAGAAACATATTCTACAACCTATTTATATCAAATCAAATATTTATTTACTCCGTAATATTAATCATACACCTATTTTCTACTCAGAGTGACAATTGTCACCATATGAACAAAATCATGAAAGGTATTACAAATTCGTAACTCAAGCATGTCACTATTTCATTGAAAATGGAGTGACATTTACTAGAACCTCATTTATTATTTCAGGTCAATCGCAACCGGCATGTTTATTCACAAAACCATACATACGAGGAATATTTAACTAATTAGCCATGACTAAAGCTTGCTCACACAAGTAAAAAAAAAATCAAAGAAAGAGAATTTAAATACCTATCATTAGAAATAACATAACCGTTAGAATTAAAATCTCGAGGGACAAATATAAAAAGAAAAATCTCCTGATCACACACTGCAATAGCCAAAGTATACTTATAAGAAGTCATTACTTACCCTGCCACATTTACTACATCCCATAATCACAGGCATTGTCAAAATGTTCGAGCACAATCTTTTTACTCACCATTAAAATAGGCTAAGAGAGAATTTTATAACAATATTACTATCAAGTTAAAAAATCATCATGGCTCCAAATCAATTCGATAAAGTGATTGTTTTTTTTTTTAAAAAAAAACAAATAATCTAAATCAAAGTAATCGGACACAAACTTCCCTCTTTCCAATTCACTTACCAAAATTCCATCAAACTCCGAACAAGAAACAAGTAAAGGAAAGCCATCAACGATAGGAAACAAAGAGATATCATTTACAAAGAACCAATTCTACAATATAATGCATAAAAAGAAAAAGTACTCCAAAGTCACACCAAGATTGCAAGAACATTTAGGTTTGTTTTGCGAGTCTTCAATCTTATTTTCACACTTTCTATTTTACTGCAAAACATTCTTTTCAATGATGATCTAACACTTATTTTCTATTCAAAACATGGAGACGAAATCCGTAGTCTCCAATAAAAAACACCAAATTCGATAAATATTTTTTACTCAAAACATCGTATCTAAAACCTAAGATTGCTTGATATTTCGAAAATTGAGACAAAGAAAGATAAAGATCTCTAATTTTCTTGTTTGTTTGAATAAAAAATCAAAATAATTAATTTCTCATTCTTTGTTTTCATTTCTCTTGTATGCAAGGTGTGTTAATTTGGCATTAGATAAATATATCTATTTTTTCTTATTTGTTTGTAAAATCAAAATTGAGAAATGAATAATTTCCCATTCTTTGTTTTTATTTCTCTTATATGCAGGGTGTTGTTCCCTTGGAATTTTCTCTACGATCCAACTTTGGCAATCCTCTATACAAATACATTATCTATCTTACGAAACATCGTATTCAAATTACTATACAAATCAAAAACAGAAATAAAAATAAAAATATTATCAACTGAACACAGCATATTTCTCTACAAATTTTCACTCCACTAACACCCTCTCTTACTCGATCCACTGTCTTGTCCTAGACGATTTGTCCTTTCTTTTTCACTCCACTACAATGCAATATATCATCTACTCCAGATCGATTCATCCATATTACTGTACTTCTATGTTACATTTCTAAACTAAGCTCTACGTAAATTCTCTTGAAATACCTTTGTCTGCAATTCTATTATCTATTGTTATTTCTCTACCATTCCATTACCTCACTCACCCTAAATAGAATTCAGACCCCACAACAGCCCAAACACAAACAAATTTCTTTCAACTGATAATTGAAACACAAAATTCAGGCGAAGAAAATAGCTTACTAGGTTGGGCGGCCCAGCCTTGTTCCCCTCCCTTGATGCGCTCAGGCAGAGCATAATTAACAGTCAGCACTCGGCCGTAAAGTTCGGCGCCGTCCATGTTATCCATGGCAGCAGCAGCATCTTCCCTTTCTAGGAAGGTAACAAAACCGAACGACCGATGCTTCTGCGTAGCCTGATCCAAGGGAGTCTTGACATCCTTAATGTCCCCAAACGGAATGAAGGCTGCATGTAGTATATGCTCGTTTACTTCCTCTGCTAATCCTCCTACGTACAGGGTGTTCTTTTGCACGCCCTCATTCATCATTTCTGTATAACTACCAAATTCTGCAACCCAAAATTGCACTGTTTGTAAGAACAACACCATTTTTAGTCACCTTCATGAAGCTAACAAATTCTAAATTCATCACCGAAAATTCACAAACAGTAGCAATCTATTTCAAGTCAGTAAGACGAAGTACACTCGTTTCAGATCTTTACGCAAAATTTCCTCATTCTCAACTCCATGAAAAACCACACACGAAATTAGAACAGTATAAATCCAGTAAACAAAAGCTTCAACACGAAATTCGACATTCTGAACAAATTTAAACAAAATACAGAATGATTTTACCGATTACTACAGTTCGTAAGAACACCACCATTGCTAGGCACCTTCATGAAGATAACTAAGTTTAAATTCACCACCGAAATTTCACACACAGTAGCAATCTATTTCAAGCCAAGTAACATGAAATAAACTTCGTTCCAGATATTTATGCAAAATTTCCGCATTCTCAACTCCATTAAAAACCCTAGATTTTCAATATACGAAATTAGAACAACATAAATACAGAAAACAAAAGCTTCAACACGAAATTTGACATTTCGAACAAATTTAAACAAACAACAGAATGATTTTACCGATTACTACTTATCGCATCCGATCTGCAACCAAAACTCTTATCGCAGCAGCATCGCAACCGCCAGAATCCAATTTTCCGATTATAAACCGCCGTAGACTATTGTCGCACTGTTACTGGGCTTTTTATATCGGCCCAATTAAGGCCCAAATTATTATAATCAGGACCCGCAATTTGGATCCGACCCGTTTATATTTCCAAATCGGATCCGACCCGTAAAAATGTATATATATTTTATGAGGAAGCCATTGGCTGCTGCTGTTCGAAAGTAGCAAAGGCCAGACACGAAACGTACACTAGCAAAGGGCACGCAGCTCTTCGGAGATCTCGAGAGTCTCCCTACCTACCTTGTCGTCGATTCCGAAGTTCATTTCTGCTCCTTTTCCTGCTGCTTTTATCGCTCCCAATTTCATATTGATTAATTGATTGATTGTGTTGTTTGGTTTCAGCTCAATTGTTAGAGGGGAGTTTGTGGTTATGGCGGCAGCTTTCTCTTTGGCAAACCCTTGTTGTTCTTCATCAACGGTTCGTTCGAGTTCGCATCCCTCCCTAGGGCACAGCCGTCTTCAATTCAGTGTTCCATTTTCAGCGAAATCGTGGAACGGAATGGAGTTGAAATGTGCTTCGTTACCATCCAAGTCCAGCTCTTTGTCCAATTTCACTCTCTCGCAAGATGGTTCGTCGCCGCCGTCGTTATATCTGCATATTGCTTGGTGAATTTATTTTGATTTTAAATTTGGTGCTGCTTTGGAAATTCTATGTTATATAGGAAAGGGGGAACCGAAATTTGCGGATCTTAATATGTTTCTGATTGAATGAAATTCATTACAGATATTATGGTTTAGTGAATTTGTGTCAATCCAAATGGTTTAGTGGAAAGGTGGAGAGCATGATCATTCTGTGCAGGAGTTAGTTCTTATCATCAATGTTTTACTCAGATAGCAATTGTTTATAATTGTTTTTTTTTTTTTGATGATTGTTCTCCATTTCCGCAATTTCTTTTGTTAGATTCTGCTGGTTGTTTGTTCATGTTTTTGTATATTACATTTTTCTTAGCGGAGCCCTCACGATGCATTCGTTGGTGGTTATTATCAATTTTTCACTTACATATCACTTACATATGGCATTAAGTTGATCACTAATCGATCCTATCAATGATTGCTTGATGTTAAATGGTGCAGTTGCATTCGGTGGATTCCGTTGGTTGGTCATGTTTTCATGCATTTGCATTTTTTAGCATAGCCCTACCTATGCATTAGTTTTTTATTATTACCTTTATTTCACTTTCGTAGCTCTTTAAGTTGATTAGTAATTTATCCTTTTCGATGATTACTCAATGCTACCATGGTGCAACTCCATTCGTTGGATTCTGTTGGTTGTTCGTTCATTTTTTCGTGCATTTACACTTTTTAGCATGGTCTTTCCGATGCATTAGTTTTTGGCTATTATCATTACTTCACTTTCATGGCGCTCTAAGTTGATCAGTTATTGATCTTTTTTGATGATTACTATTATCAACATTTCACTTACATAGGGCTTTTAATAGATCTACTTTTTTGTTAGCTTATTGCTAAACCTATGTGTTGCTTAGGTTCTTTGGCTCCCAAAACAACCACAACCAAAGACGAAGCACCGATAAAATCGGAAGAGGGGTTGTTGTCTGTTGCCCCTCCTGAGGAACAAAAAGAGCTGAATAATTTGGATGTAAATGGCGATAACACCACTGTTAGCATTACTGTTGTTGGGGCCTCGGGCGACCTTGCCAAGAAGAAGATATTCCCTGCTCTTTTTGCGCTCTATTACGAGGACTGCCTCCCCGAGGTCAGCTTTACTTTCGCCTCCAATGCTACTTTGTTTCACTTTGCTTCCCCGAGTGCTTTTATTATTCTTTGATTTATTGTTATGGATTTCAGCATTTCACGATATTTGGGTATGCGCGGAGTAAGATGACTGATGAAGAGTTAAGAAATATGGTTAGCAGGACTCTCACGTGCCGAATTGACAAGAGGTAACTCTAGCTAGTGAATGAAGAGCTAAAGCAACTGATTATTTGTCGTGCTTCTGGAGCGATCTTTTTTATAGTCACATGCTTTGTTCAGGGAAAATTGTGGAGAGAAAATGGAACAGTTCCTGAAACGATGTTTCTATCACTCTGGACAGTATGATTCCCGAGAAAATTTCATGGAGCTCGATAAAAAACTTAAGGAACACGAGGTAATGATACCATTGAACTATGAATTCGCCGGTTGCTGTTAATATTACCTGTTTAAAGATCAGACAGTTTTAGGAGTTTGGAAACATTCGTTGCCCTCTATATTAATGTTTTCGCTGTGAATGGTTTGTGTAGGGTGGAAAGGTTTCAAATCGACTCTTTTATCTATCTATTCCGCCGAACATATTTGTAAATGCTGTAGAACATGCCAGCCTCTCGGCTTCTGCTGCTAATGGATGGACGAGGGTCATTGTTGAGAAACCTTTCGGCCGAGATTCCGAGTCATCTGCTGCTCTGACTCGGGCCCTCAAGCAATACTTACATGAGGATCAGATTTTTCGGTAATAAGTTCTTCACGTCTCACCAATCATGTCTTTTTCTTTCTAATTACTATTGATTATTGAACCTCCAACCCCGAATTTTTACAGGATAGATCATTATCTTGGAAAGGAGCTAGTCGAGAATCTATCCGTCCTTCGATTCTCAAACCTTATATTTGAGCCGTTATGGTCGAGGCAGTACATAAGGAATGTTCAGTTGATATTCTCGGAGGACTTTGGCACCGAGGGAAGAGGAGGGTAATGTATCTTTGCTAATTCCGATTCGATGAACTTGTTTATACTTTAGCTTATTGATTGATTTTGTGTGCATCAGCTACTTTGATCATTATGGAATAATTCGAGATATAATGCAAAATCATCTCCTCCAAATTCTCGCCCTGTTTGCAATGGAAACACCCGTCAGTTTAGATGCTGAAGATATTCGCAACGAAAAGGTTCTCTCTCTCTCTCTCCGCCGATTTGCATAGTTTTTAATCCCGTACGTAACACTGCTTTTCTATTTTGATCGATTTGGTATGTTCTTGTAGAGCTTGCAATAAGTTGATTCGTGTTGGGTTTATATCGGGTTGAATACATTAAACGGGTTATATCACTCAACCTTAATCCGGCTGCTTATTATCGTGTCGGATTCGTGTTGACCCGTATATATAATCGGGTCGATATCTCTTATCAAAGTTCAACTATTTCTTGTCAGGTTGTTGTATTATGTTGGTTTTTTTTTCGGGTTTTAGTATTATATGTATAATGAATTGTGTGAATTATTTAAAATTGAATTTGGTTTAAATTAATATACAAATTAATTATCAAATTACAATTATGTTACATATATAATAAATATATTATAATCGGATTGTCGAGTCGAACTCGAGTTGAAGGCTTCGACCCTAACATGACTCGTTTATTATCATGTCAGGCTCGTGTTAATTAGTATACATAATTGGGTCAAAATTCTTAACCCAAATTCAATTATTTCATATCAGGATATCGTGTCATATCAGTTTTTGCCGGCTCTATGTGCTTGTAATCTTATTCTCTTAAAAGGAACCAAACAGAGATGAGCATGCAGAATTAGAACTGTGATTTAGTCTTTCTTGTAGCGATTACGTCTAAAAATTCTCTATTTTATTACAGGTCAAAGTTTTGCGTTCGATGAGGCCTATCCGAACAGACGACGTGGTGATGGGGCAATACAAGGGTCAGACAAGAGGCGGCGTGACCTACCCTGGATACACCGACGATAAAACCGTCCCCGCCGATAGTTTAACCCCGACATTTGCTGCTGCAGCGCTCTTCATCGATAACGCTCGATGGGACGGCGTACCGTTTCTAATGAAGGCCGGGAAGGCTCTACATGATCGGAGGTTTGCAATATTCGCACACAAACTATTCAATTCCTCGTCGCTTAAATCTTCTTTACACACTATTCATTTGTCAGGGCCGAGATACGGGTGCAGTTCAGACACGTTCCCGGGAATTTATACAATCGAAACTTCGGCTCCGACCTTGATCGCGCAACGAACGAGCTCGTAATCCGCGTTCAGCCGGACGAAGCTATATACCTGAAGATAAATAACAAAGTCCCGGGATTGGGCATGCGATTGGACCGGAGTAATCTCAACCTCCTTTACAAAGCAAGGTAGATCAATGCTTGTTCTTAAACTTTCGAATTTTTTATCTTGGAGATAATCAATGCTCGTTCTTAAACCTTCGAATCTTCGATCTTGGAGATAATTAATGCTCGTTCTTAAACCTTCGAATCTTCGATCTTGGAGATAATCAATGCTCGTTCTTAAACCTTCGAATCTTTGATCTTGGAGATGATCGATGATCGTAAACCTTTGAATCTTTGATCTTGGAGATGATTGATGGTCGTAAACTTTACTTTTGAATCTTCGATCTTGGAGATAATCAATGCTCTTCTTAAACCTTCGAATCTTCGATCTTGGAGATGATCAATGATCGTAAACTTTACTTTTGAATCTTTGATCTTGGAGATAATCAATGCTCTTCTTAAACTTTCGAATCTTCGATCTTGGAGATGATCGATGCTCGTAAACTTTACTTTTGAATCTTCGATCTTGGAGATAATCAATGCTCTTTCTTAAACCTTCGAATCTTCGATCTAGGAGATGATCAATGCTGTAAAGTTTCGAATCTTCGATCTTGGAGTTGATCCATGATCGTAAACTTTACTTTTGAATCTTCGATCTTGGGGCAGGTATTCAAAGGAGATACCGGACGCGTACGAGAGGCTTCTTCTGGATGCGATCGAAGGGGAGAGGCGACTGTTCATCAGGAGCGACGAATTGGATGCTGCATGGGCGCTCTTCACGCCGGTCCTGAAGGAGCTCGAGGAAAATAAGGTTGTCCCCGAGTACTATCCGTATGGAAGCCGGGGACCCGTCGGGGCTCATTACCTCGCCGCCAGGTACAACGTTAAATGGGGCGATGTTGGCGTCGATGAATGAATGAATTTAATTGAATTACTCACCATTTTTGTGCTATTTCTACCTTATTTCCAGGATTTTCAACTTTTTTTTTTTGTATTTCTGGGATTAATTTTATTTTCTAATGTTTTTGTGTTTTGGGTTCGTTTTGGAGATGAATTGAGTAGTTGAATAATGTTTTGAGCTGTTTAGCATTGTCAGATTTGGATATGCAAGTAACAGAGAGTTTTGTGTTCTTCAAGCCTACGACATCTCCTGATGAAATCGTTAGGATTTCTGTTTGTTATTTCTACGATGAGATATGAAAAATAATGAATATTTTATAATTGAATTTTTAATCCAAGAAGATGCTCAAAATGTATTAATGGAGAGTGTTTGTGATTTTTTTTCACGGTCACAAGTAAATCTCTACATCAACGGATTATCTCATACGGGATATATATTTTTATATGTAATTTATGATATTTTGTGTTGATTGAGAACATATATAATGGTGATAAATTTTCAAACACAAGTATCATCGATAATTATAATTAATTTATTCAATAAATTAAATTATAAATTAAATTTTAGGCGTCAATGATCAAAATTCTCATGTTTTTGAGTGTGTTTGTTTGGGGTTTGGATTTTGAGTTGGGATTTAAATAGTAAAAATTTTGAATTTAAATAGTGTATGATGTGATATAAATAGGTGTTGATGTGATGTTTTAAATGTAAAATTGATTTTTAATATAATATAAAAAATAAAAAATAGGTGTTTGATTTGATGTTTTTGAAAAAAAAAAAGAAAAAGGAATGAATAATTGAAATCTAATCCAATCCCCGAAACAAACACACCCATATGTTTACTTCTTTAATTTTATTATTTACTAGCCAAATTAATACCCCTTTTCAAATAAGTCTTATAGTAATTAAATTACAAGTTGGATAGCATGCTTTAATAGCTTAATTACTTAAATTATTTTTATTTAATTAAAATAAATAGATAGTTAAGATTAATTCAAGAATTAATTAACATTTTATGTCATTATCTAAACTCATTATATTATCAATTTCTTTGCAATTTCTTAACCAAAAAAAAAAAAGTGCAGACAGCCGACTACGACTAGGTCTAGAAAATAAGAAATTAAATTTTATCAAGGGTAAAATAATATAGATGAAAAAAATATTATATTAACAATATTATATATATATATATATGATATTCTCTCCGTCCCAATACTTGTTTACTATTTTTGTCCATCTCAAAACAATAATCTTATTTACATAAATAATCATATCACTGTATAATACTACCTTTGCTCTTTCATTATTATTAAACAATTGCCACTATTTTTAGACTAATACAATCGAAAAAAATATCTTTTATCTATACTTTTTACTCATTATTAATATAATATCAATATTTTTTAAATTTCGTGTCGAACGCAACCAACGTTCCGAAAGAGTATTAAATAATTTGGCTGTCCAACAGCTGACCCACCCACCTTGCACCAATTTTAAAATATTATATTAAAAATATATATAATATAATATACATTAAATTTACTCTTTTATGAGCCTTAAAAAATTGATCATCTTTTTAAGTAGAACTAGATAAGATAATTCAACTTGCTTGGCTCATTTATGATTTTTTAAATTACATTCATTTGATCTTAACAAAAAAAAAAAAACATATAATTTATTATTCAAATAATAATAATAAAAAAAAACACCAACGGGCATATTTGATTCTCACTTACTGAAATTCTTTCTTATTAGATTTAGCCTTTCCTTTCAAATGATTAATCAAATTTTTACAATTTTTTATATTTTTGAACTGAATTTCATATTTTTCGAGACAATAAATAAATAAATTTTATTTTATATTAAATTTATTTTCTTTGCAATTTTATTGTATAAAATCATTTCTTTACAATTTTATCCTCTATGCCAAGCACCGTAAAAATTTGTAAAATTAATTATCTATAAATGAAAAAAATTACATATTTTTAGAAAAATAAAAGTAGAGAGTATATTATTTTTTCCATAATATCAAATTATTATTTTTTTTAAAAAAAAAAAAAAATTCTTGTAGAAGATGACCTAGTGGTGCGGAAGTGAATTCGTGACCGAAAGATCACGAGTTTAAATCTTCAAGAATCACTGAATTCCTATATTATCGAAGAAAAAAAAAATAAACAAAATTTTATTTTTATCATTTAATTTTCTTTTCTTTCATTTTTTTAAAATAACATGATCACTTTATTTTTTAAAAAAAATAGTTATGTTTATTATTGATTTATTTTATTAAAAATAAAATAATATTATACTTAAAAATATCAAACTCAAATATATATGCATGCATACGAAGTAATATTTGCTCCCCATTCATTTGAAAGATATATATATTTATTTAATATGAAGTTTAAGAAATATTTATATTTAGGGTGTGTTTGTTTGGGGGATTGGTTTTTAAATCTACTATTCATTCTTTTTTTTTTTTCTCGAAAAACATCAAATCAAACACCTATTTTTCATTTTTTATATTATACTAGAAATTAATTTTACATTCAAAATATCATATCAACGCCTATTTAAAGGATTGCTGATGGATATTTTTTGTGTAAAGAGTTTTTTTTTATTCTTTTAAAAAACATTGATATAATAATATTAATATGAACAAATATAAATTTAAAATATTTGTAATGCCTAGTAAACTTTATATTTAGACAAAAATAACAATATATATTTTTAAAATGAATAGATAAAATATTGTATATTTATTATTCAAATATATTATTTAATATTCCTTACCTCCACTAAAATTATTGATTTTTTTTTTATACATATATATATATATTTACAAAAAAAAAATATGTCATCATTATAATAGAGAAAAAGAATAATAATTTCATCTTAATAATATTAAAATTTTAAAAATACAAATAAACAACACCTACGTGTGTGTATATTCATGTAGGGCCCAAACAGATTGTGCTTGAAGTTGTTCTTATCTCCCTTTTTAAATTTATTATATAGTTATTTTCTTATTTCTTTTTATTATTCAACTCTTTCATTTATTCGTAAATATATACTTCCTCTGTCGTTTAATTGTGTATTTATTTAATTGGACACGAGTTTTAAAAAAAATATGTAAAGATAATAATTTTTACATTTTTGGGTAAACAAAAAATAAAAAAATAGTATTTTTTTTTTTACTAAAAAAGAAAAAAATAATAAGTTTGGATGAAAAAAAATAAAAATAAAAAATAAGAATAAATTTAAACGACGAAGAAGTATATTATTCTATATTATAATTAATGATGTTTTATATTTTTTATGTTCTGCATTTTTTGTTTAGGTTTAATTTGTCCTACGATCTCATATCTTTTGTTATATATATATTTTTTAAAAATAATTATACATTTTAATTATATTTTAGACTTTATATTTTATAATTTCTTTAAACTTTAATTAGATTAATAAATTATTTTAATTTTAGTTTATTTGTATTAAATTGTAATTATTTTTACTAATAATATTTTGCATTATTTACTAATTATTTGTTAAAGGAACACACTTCAATTTACACGTTATATTTAAATAATATTTAATTTGATATTTTATGATAGTGGAAACATTAAAAGTTTTGAGAAGAAATGGCCAAAATAATAATAAAAAAATAAATTATTTTATCTTACAATAAATTGTAAAAATAACACTATTAAAAATTAATAATAAATCAAAGTTCACAAGTAATTTTAAAAAAATAGGGAGTTTGTGTGTAAATTTGACAAAAATATATTAAATTGTGAACATTTCTATCAATGGAGGAATAAGGATTTTATTATTATACAATTATCAAATTTAAATCTCTATTTAAATTAAAACACAAGCCAAATTCAGACCTACATATATATATATATATATATAATCAAGCTAATTAATACAATTATATATCTTAAGATTAATGTTATACCATGTGATTCAAAATTAATTATAAAATAATACTCCCTCCATCCCAGATACCGTGGCTGCTACACTGCGGACAATATTTTAGGAGATGTGTAATTAGTAGATAATTAAGAATGTATTAGTGAAAATAATTATTCTATAATATAAATAATTATAAATTAAGATTTAGATAACTAATTAGTTTAATTAAAATTTAAAAAATAAGATTTAAAAATTTAAAATGAGATTAAAGTGTGTAATCATTTTTAAATAAATGAAAGTGACATGGTATGTGGGACGGACAGAAGCAGCAACGTGGACATGGTATCTGGGACGGAGGGAGTAAGATATACTCCATCCGTCCCAAAAGTATAGTTTGTTGGATTGGGTACGAGATTTAAAAAATATTGATATTATATTGATAGTTAGTAAAAAGTAAGAATAAATGATTTTTTTGCCCTTCCGAACATATTAGTGTAAAAAGTAGTGGCAATTGTGTAATAATAATGAAAAAATAAGGATAATTTTACGGTGATATGATTATTTATGGAAATGAGACTATTGTTTTGGGATGGACAAAAATGGTAAACAAGACTATTGTATTGACACGGAGGGAATATATATATATATATATTTATCAAAATATGTCTTGAAATTATTTTGATTAATTTTCAATTAAAATCAACATCTAATGCATTTTTAAAATATATTATTTAGTATTTTTTATTATTAATTGGGGATTAGTTAGAGTATTGAATAGGGTTAATGAGTACCGTATATTGACTCTAAGCCAAATATTTTATAATTTTTTTAGTATTAAAAATATTAATTTTTATATATTTATACAATTTCTCCCTCCCATTCTGTCTAAAAAACTATCTAAATTCATATATAATTATGTCATTATTATTTATTTAAATTTATTAGCTAAATATTAAATAAATTATGACATTTTGCCCCATCGAAATTTAGATGCTAGTTTCGTCACCGATAATCAGTACATAAAATATAGATAAACAAACATGCCATATAAATTATTAGCAATTTAGCATATATGTTATGTTATATTTTTTATATGTGCATTGCATTAAGATATTTGCATTTTGAGGTCACTAATATTGTATTATGTTAATATATTGTTAACATATATTCGACTATTTATAGTTAGCAACAATTTTTTTTTTATTTTTTATTTTTAAATTGTAATACTCTCTCCATTTTGTCATAAAATATATATTTACTTTTAACACAGAATTTAAGAAATAATAATATTTTAATTATAATAGGTAGTTAAAAGTTATGTAAAAATAATTCTTATCTTGCTTTTTGGTATAAAGATAATTATTTGGATAAAATATGAATATTTGTAGAAAATAAAAAGGTTTATAGTTATTAAAAAAGTTTATATTTTAAAAAAGTTTATATTTATTTTTAAAATAATAATATGAATATTTGGATAAAAAGTTTATATTTTTATTTATTTATTTTAAAACATGTGTCTGATCAAGTGAACATACAATTGGATGACGGACGAAGTATTTGTTTCTCATATTTTATTTTGCAATTCTCATAATAATTCCACATTAAAATATAATTAATTTTCATTTAGAAAAATAAATACAAATAAAGAAAAACAATAAATACATTAATAAATCAATTGCAATATAAATGGTGATTCCAGTATCATTATTGCTGTTTATTTGAATAAGGTAACCAATATTATTTTGTGATATTCATGGAATTTTTTATTTATTATTTTTGGTTAGCTGTATAATTATCAATGGAAATTTATTGAAATTCTATAATTCATTAGTCGACTTTTTTAACAAGAAATTTAAGCTGAATTGAAGTAGAATAAAATTAAATATTAATTATTTTAGTAATGTAGTTTAATGAGGCATTTAATCATTTCTATATTTATTTGTTAATACTATAAGAGAAAAAAAAAGATAAAAAATTATATAATGTAAGAATAAGATGGATAATACAAACAATAATTTAAAAGTTTGATTTTATTTTAAATAACAATATGAATATATTGTTTTGTGAAATAAAATAATTTATTTTTTTTTTATAGAAAATCGAGATGATTATAATAATAATAATTAAAAACAAATTCCAAACAAAATACTCTCTTTGTGTTCACTTATGTTATGTTTTTTTAATAGTATTTATTACTCTATCCCTCATGCAAATATGTGCTCATTTGACCGGACACAAGTTTTAGTAAAAGTGAGTAATAATTGTTAATTTTTCATTTTATAGTAAAAAATAATACAAAAATATAATGATTTTTTACTTAAAAAGAAAATGAGAATATTTTTCGATGACAACCTAAAAAGGAAAGTGAGCATAGATTTAAACGAATGAGAGAATACCTATTAATTTTTTCTTGTAACAATATAGAAATATATTTTTATTGAAAATATTATATTCGATATAGGATATAAGACATGTATATACATTAAAGCTAATTCGGAATGAGATTCATAAAATATATCTAAACGGCTAAACTAAAAATATTTATAATGTTTAAAAATAAACAATATCTCGATATAAATTCACGACAAAATTTTAAAGTAATTTTAGATTATTGTAATATAACAATTTCTTTGTCTATAATAATTTTTTTGTTCTTTTATTTTTTAATTTAATTTTTTTTTATTATGTAATAATTGCGATTTCTATAAAAATATACTATTTAACTTTACAAAAGTAAATTCAAAAGAACACTCAGTTTTTTTTTTTTATGTCGCTCCTAATTATGAACGAGAGAATAATGTTTAGCTGAGTTGTGAATATATTTAAATTTTTAGTTTAAGTAATATTTAATATAATATTTTGTAAAAAAAATAATAATAATGTATATTTATTAAAAATAATATAAATTATAAACAATTTAAAAATGGTTTAAAATTGAAATCAAACAAACGTGATCCCATGTTTACAATTAAGTAAATATAATAATTAGAGTATACTATAATATTACTCATGGAAAGATTTTAAATGAACAAATAATATTTATTTTTAGAATAAAATTAAATATAAACAATAAAAATTAATCATATAAATAAATGGTGCTTTCACCACATAATGAAAAATATATTTAATTTTATTTAAAATAAATACTCCCTCGTCCCTTAAAAATCTATTCATTTTTTTATTTTGTTCTGTCTTGTAATAAAGTATTCATTTTCTTTTTTTTAGTAACTGTATCGTCTACCTAACATTACTTTAGAAATTTTGGGGGAAAATAATGAAATTGTCTTATTGATCATTAAAATAAAGAGCCTATATATAGACAATACAAAATAGACTCGATAGATTTAAATATAAGTAATATAATCTATAAATAAGATCAAATCTAGATATAAATCTATTAAATCTAAAACTGAATATCTAAAATATCTCAACAATTACAAATACTCTTACAATTTACAATATATTACATAAATGTCATTACATTTATATTATTATACAATACTAATAGGGTTAATTTAGTTTTTTTTACCTTTATTTCTATATTATCCCATTGTAATACTAATATTTCTAAAACTCCGTAAAAAAACAAATGAATTTATAGATATGAAACGGAGGCAGTATTTACATATTACTCATTATAAAAAATTAAATTAAATACATATAATTTAATATTAATAGATATACAACGGGTTACATATTAGTTTACAAAATAAAATTAACTAGATATGTATAATAGACCGATGGAGCATCTTTTTTATATTCAAATTGAAAACAATTTCAAATATAATAAACACATTTTTTAAAATACAAATCATAAATCAGAAAATTAAAATGAAATACAAGATAAATACATTTATTGTAGATAAAATAGAATAAAAATGTACACAATAATAATAATAATAATACTATTATGAATTTGTTTGTTTTTAGCTTCAAATAACAATATATTAGCAATTTAATAAAAGTCAATGTTTATTATCTTTTATAACCATATAAAAAATAGTGAGTTTGTTTTTGATATTTTTGGATGATACAATTTTTTATAAAATATTATTAAAAATATAATATATATATACTAACATAATACATTTAATATACTCCCTCCCTCTAGTCACATTTATCTTTTACATTATTGTATTTAACATTAAAAATATTATTATATTTATATAATTTTTTTTAACAAATATTCATTTATTAGTATTATAAGACACTAACTAAAGTATTTTTGCAATTTTTTCTTAATTTGTACTATATTTTGTTATAATAATTAATATTCAAATATCAAGGTGAAAAAAAATATATGAAACTCAGAGCAGAACAGAAGTAATATATTTTATTTATTCACAAATAATCCATTATAAAATACTATTTTTTATATTATTATCTTAATTTTTCATAAAAAATTATATCCATAAAAAAACCAAATATTATTCCATCACTATAATTTTTAATTAAAATATAAATATATTTAATTTTTAAACAAAATATTTATATCAAAATATTATTTAATTAAAAAATTAATTTCATTTCATTTTAAATTAAAATTCTAAATCCTAACAAAAACAAAAATAGGTAACTAAATAAAAGCGAGAAGAGGTAGGCGAGTGGAGGTCACGCGAGGGTGGGGCAAGTCTGTCATCACAACTCATGCTGATTGTATTATCATACGTATAAATATATAGATACAGAAAGTCTGTATCTATATGCGCATATAAATATAAATATAAAATATTGAATGAAAAATGGTGCAGAAGGAAGAGTCCCTCCAAAAACCTCTTGGTACACCTCACGAGCCACTGTCCCAATTTTAACCGACGCCAAAATCCTCATCGCCTCCCTTGGCTTCAATTTCAACAATCAATTTGATTTGCAGCGACGATTTCGTCAGAGATTCACGCGGCGTAGGTTGCGTCGCCGCATTGGACGGGGGAATTCGATCGGTTGTTGTTATCTGAATTCTGGCTCGGCATCGGTGTCAGGAGTTTGGTGTTTGCTTTGTTTTTTGCCTTATTCGTCGCTGTAGGTTTGGATTATTTGGGAATGGAGTGCTGGGAGACGCCGGTCAGAGTGGACGATGAATTCGAGAAGTTCGTGATTAGAATGAACCCGCCGAGGTGGTGATTTTTTGTTATACTTACTGTGTGAAAATTTAATTTGTTGTTATTTAATTGCATGTTGAAATTTTGGTTTGAGGAAGATGATGCTAGTTTTTTCAATTTGGGGAATCTTCGTAGGGTTACTGTTGACAGTGCATCTGACGAGAAGGTGACTCTGATCAAGGTACTAGAATTGGTTATATTTGTTTTATTCTGGCGTCGGATTCGAAACAACGCTCAAATGAGTTAATTCCTTCGAAAACAAATTGTCTGTTTGATCTGTGATTTTGATTTTGATTTATCTGCTCTTGTTTTTTCCCCCAAATTTTTTGTGTGTTTTTGCAGGTGGACAGTGCAAATAAGAAAGGAAGCTTGTTGGAGGTTGTGCAAGTTCTTTCTGATATGAATCTGATAATTAAGAAGGCTTATATTTCATCAGATGGTGGATGGTTTATGGATGGTGAATTTCCTGTTCAATCTCTGTATTGATTCATTTATCTATGGATTTCAATTTTGATTTAGTACTTTTTTTAATTGAAACGCCATTGTTTTGGTTTTTTGATTGATCAAATGCAGTTTTTCATGTGACTGATGAATTTGGGAATAAGGTGTATGAGGACAATATCTCGGATCGAATTCAACAGGTAAATAAGCAACAATATGTATTGGATTACACTTCAGTTATGTTAACTTTTTAATATTAATGGATTATGAAACTTTTGCTTAGTTCTGAACAGTTTTACTCGTTTAATGTCGAATCGATTCTTCTATTACTTTCTAGGCCGGAGTTAATAACTGCATTCATGTCCGTTGTCGCGTAGTTTGTTGTTTTTCTTAAATGTTTGTGACATTTGGTTGTGGTAGAGATCAAATAGCTCAATTATCTTAAAGAAAATTTAGAAGGAAACTCACATTGAAGAGTTCATAAAGTCGATATTATGATTGCATTTGGAGTAATGAAATCATTTGTTTCGATTATTAAGCGCAATACTTATTATTCAACCCTCTTTCTGGTACCAATAGAAGAATCCAAAAATGCAATAACCATGCTTAATTGCTCGAAAGTCTTTCGATTAGATGCTACCATTCTTTACATTGGCTCCATTTAGACAGAGCCTTTTAGAGTTCTTGAGTTTCGAAAAAACTTAAAAATAATAAAAAAAGTTAGAATTTGATGTGATATTTTTGAAAAAAAAGTTACGGAAGTGTTTTGTATAAACAGAGTTATTGTAAATTGGTACTATCATGAGATAATGTTGTTACTAAAACTCCTTTTACAGTCATTGGAACGTACGATCAGAGGTCGCAGTTTTCGATCCGTAGAACAATCCGTCGGCGTGCAATCAGCTGCCGAGTGTACAGCCATTGAATTATCAGGCACAGATCGTCCGGGGCTGCTCTCGGAGATCTTTGCAATTCTCACGGATCTTAAATGCAATGTAGTTTCTGCCGAAGTATGGACACACAATTCAAGAATGGCCGCGGTTGTATACATCACCGACGAGGCTACCGGACTGATGATTGAAGATCCCGATCGTCTCACCAACATAAAAAGCCTCCTGCTTTTTGTTCTAAAAGGCAACAGAGAATGGCGAGGCGCCAACACCGCCGTTTCTGTGGGCTCGACTCATATGCAGAGGAGGTTGCATCAAATCATGTACGCCGATCGTGACTATGACGATCAGAATCCGGGCAGTGATGCAACCGAACGAACCAAACCGTTTGTGACAGTCGAGAACTTCGTCGAAAAAGGATACACTGTCGTCAACTTGAGATGCCCCGATCGCCCTAAGCTTCTGTTCGATACGGTCTGTACCATTACGGATATGCAGTACGTGATTTCCCACGGCACCATTAGCGCCGAGGGCCCCGAGGCTCATCAGGTAACCCTTATTAATCTCTCTCGTTGTCGATTTTTTTTTTTTTTTTTTTACGGTTTCCGTAGGGCTGTTAATGAGCTAAGCCGAACAAAATTTTAATTGTTCGTGTTCGTTCGTTAAGTGTTCGAGCTCAGTTCATTAATAATTTTTTTTGTTTGAATTCGTGTTCGTATTTGGCTCGATTAAGCTCGTTCGAGCTCGTTTGTCTTACTGTTTTTAATTTATATATAAATTATATGTATATACTCCATCCGTCTCAAAACAATAGTCCTATTTTGCTATTTTCGTCCATCCCAAAACAATAGTTAACAAGCTCCCCGCCTTTTTATAAAGCTATCCTTATTTTTTCACAATAATTACACAGGGGCATTTTTGTCTTTTAGGAATATTTTTACACCACTATCAATATAATATTATTATTTCTTAATTTTTATGCACATCCCAAATGTTTCTATTGTTTTGGGACGGAGGGAAGGAGTATAATATTTATAATAAATATATTATTTCAATGAGTCTGTTTATGCCGTTCGACTCAACTCGTTAACGTTCGTGAACGAGTTTTAACTGAGCTGAATCAAGTTGAACTGATCACGAATGACTCGGTTTGTCTAAGAGCTTTGGCCGCGCATCATGTTTCTATTTTCATCTATCGAACCGCGTCAATCTTTGTCGTTTGCTTCGATTTAGGAATATTACATGCGGCATATCGACGGATGCCCCATCAGCTCAGAAGCTGAACGGCAGCGCGTGATCCATTGCTTGGAAGCGGCAATAAAACGACGAACCTCCGAGGTAATCCACCGAGCCCCAAATATAGAAAACAATAATTTCAAATCAATCTCGTTTATTCCATTTCGAGAATTAGCAAACATCGACGTAATGCAGGGAATCAGACTCGAGCTATTCGGCGACGACAGGGTAGGTCTTCTCAGCGACGTTACGCGCATATTCAGAGAGTACGGTCTTTCGGTCACCCGGGCAGAGGTCACGACGAAGGGCAAGCATGCCGTGAACGTTTTCTACGTGGTCGACGCATCCGGGGGCCCGGTACGACGGGAAACAATCGAGGTTGTTCGAAAACAGATGGGAATGACGGCACTCGTCGTGAAGGATGAGGTGCCCTCCGTTCCGCCCCCTCGACAGGCCCCCTCGAAATTCTCTTTAGGTAATCTCTTTCGCTCAAGTTCGGAAAAATTTCTTTCTAATTTAGGCCTAAGTAAGTCGGGATCGTGAATTATCGACATTGCTAGGGTCGGGAATAGGATCAAATAGTGATAATTGGGTATATATGAAGTATCGGGATTAAATATATATATATATATGTAATGTGTATATTATGTTATATATATATATATAGGGAAAGTTACTAAATATTTGATTTGCAGTTGGTAATTGTTTGGATTATTTGAAAAGATTTGGAGGGTTTTCCAAATTGGTGATTTTTACTTTTGCTTATTAGATTCATGTGTGTGTGTGTATGGGTCTCGGGTTTGTTTCTTTTGCCTAAATCTCATGTTTCTTTGTATTTGGATTCTGCATTATTATTATTATTATTTTTTTTCACTCACAAAATATCTTATTATATATTATTTTAATATCAAATTCAAACTAATTTTTTTTCAAAGAAACCTACCCTGAGTTTGTTTTTGTTTTTGAGAATAATATAGTAAAATTTGTTGGTTTGATATAAATAAGTGTTCGATCCAATTGTTTTGAATAAAAAATATTAAATAATAATTTGTACTCAATGAACAGTGAAAATAAATATTTTAAAACACAACCAAATGAAACATGGGGTTGGTATCTTCTTGATTTTGTTTTGATTTATTATTATTATTATTATTATTATTTCAATAGAAATATTTGAAACCATTTTCTAAATGTCTGGTTAAATCTACATTAGTCATACAAAATGTGTAGAGATTGTATAATTGAATGGTAAAAGAATGTTTAGAAATTGAAAAGAAACTCTGGGTGTGTTTGTTTGGGGGATTGGATTAGATTTTTACTATTCATCTCATTTTCTCTCAAAAAAATATTAAATCAAACATCTATTTTTTATTTTTTATATTATACTAAATATCAATTTTACATTCAAAACATCACATCAACACCTATTTATATCACATCATCAAATTATTCAAATTCAAAATTTCTATTATTCAAATCTCAATTCAAAATTCAAAACCCGAGACAAACACACCCAGAGGATATCTTTTGACCTCAATCATACAAAATAGAGAGAACCATTTTATGATGATGACTTTTTGATAGTGTTGAAATGATTGTGGTAATGATATTACATTTTGATTTGTGACATAAACAGTTAGTAGTGCTATGTGAGTGTGTCAATGTGTCTATAGATGTATATATATATTAAAGTATTTGCACAATCAATTGATTAATTAATTAATTATTTAATTCCAAATGTGGGAAGATTGCTTTTAAAATTAGTAAAAAGTTGTTATGATTGGTATGGTAGTGATGAATGATTGCCAAAATCAAAAGTTTGGTGTACTAATAATTGGTCACATTGGACTTGTGACCGTGGGGTCATGGCTTCGAACTCCCAATATCTTAAGTTATTTGTCACACATAGTTCGCCTAGTGTGACTTTCCGTCGGGCTTAGTTTGCAGGATATTAGGTTCGGCCGGAGTTTACCCAGTGCGCACTTTCGGGTAACGGCTGCGAGTTCCCACGTCATCCAAAAAGAAAAAAATTATAAATAATATTGATTTGAGACCAAGATTTTATTTAATTTCATTTCAACCAATAAATTATGATATTATTTTTTTTTAAACGAATAATTTTGTTATAGTTTTAAAATATGAATTAAAATATGGTATTAAAATAAATTTAGAATATGTTATTAAATATTTTAAAATTTATATATCAATAGTAAATATTATTTAGTTGAAAATAAAATTAGATATATGCTTATTTATTTATAATTAACATAAATTAATTTTTATGAAAGATTGAAAATTTTAAATAGAGATAAAAATATTTGTTTATTAATAAAAAAATAAATATAAAAGAATTTTGATGGATCCTTTCTAATATATGATGTTATATGTAAAAAAAAAAGAAGTTAATTATGCTAATTTATATTTGTTAATTATGTATTGAATTAGTAAATTTTACTAAATATAAAAATATATAAATAGAGTGGAAAAAATAAAAATTAAATTAAATTGTTTTGGGATGAAGGAGCATATTCTAACCATTATTTGAACTCAAAACATAAGTATTAAAAGTGTATCAAGTGAATAATGTCGATTTTGAAATATAGTGAAATTAAATTGAGTTTGTTCAGTTGTGATTTGAAATAAAGTGTGGATTTGAGTTTTTTGTTTAAATAATATTTTGATGTGATATTTTGTAAGAAAAAAAAAGTGTATTAAAAGTATATCAAGTGAATAATATTGATTTTGATTTGAAACAGTAAAAGAACACTAGTAAAAATATTTACTTGTGAAATTTTGATTTGCTTTTATGTTTTGGTTTTGAATAGTAAAATTTTAAATTGAAATAATTGCTTGTTGTAATATAAATATGCAGTGATACGATATTTTGAATATAAAATTAACATTTAATATAATACTATAATAAATAAAAACAAGTATTTGACTTGATATATATTTTTAGAATTAAAAAAAAAATTGAAATAGTAAAATCTTTTAAAAAATCTCTCAAAGTAAACTCGTCTGGGAAGTGTGATTCAATGGTAGGTATAAATTTCATTTCACATGCCCTTTAGTCATTACCTATGTATTTTCTCTGTCATTTAACTATATATATTTAATATTTTCACAAAAAATCATACTCATTTATGTAATAAAAAATATCACTTTTCCTTTATTTTTATTTATTTATTTAAAATTTCTTTTAACTTATAAAAGGAAAAATAATAATGATTCTTATTTACTTTTATTAAAGTTTGTATTCAACCAAATGAATATAAAACTTAATGACTGGATGATTTTTTTTTATTTTAATATAATTAAATCAAATTAATAGGCAAGAAACTAAAATAGTCTTACATATAATATATATATATATATATATTTTAACTATAGTTAACATTTAGTAATAATTATTAAATTTCACACCAAAAGTAAGCGTTTAGTTATAGGAAGAAATATTGAATGAGGTTATTCAATTATCTAATCAACATTAAATTAAATCACTTCCATTTGATTGAATTACATATGAAAGAGAATACAATAATATTTGTATGTATATAGGTAAATTATATTTGTATTTTAATTAAATATAAAGGACTATATATTTATAATATTGTCTGCTTTTATTATATATGTTGATCTGATCAAATCAGTCGAAAATTTGTCTCCTTCGATTTATTATAGTAAATTAAAAATTGATTTTATATTCAAAATATAACGTCAATACATATTTAAATTTTTGTATATACGATAATAATTGTGATACTATATCTCATACAGAGTTTAGATTGTATATTTGTATGATACAAAAATTAGAATATTATGTGAAGCGGGTAAGCTAACATGATGAAAAAATAAATTTTAATATGTAAACTTATGAATAAATATAACCTTAAAGAGTATAAATTAATAATCGTAATAACTTTTTTGCTAAAAAAAAAAATAAATCTCATAGTTTGTGCATAAATAAAACTAAAAAAATCAATATAAACTTTATGGACATAAAAAAAAATATATAATTTACCTTGTACATGAATATATATATTTGAACATACACACATCTAACTCTTCCTTTTTATTAAAAAGGACGCCGGCCGCGACGGGGCATTGTCCAAATTGTCGAGTCTATGAAATTTATTTCGCAATTTCTCCGCATTTGCAAATAACTATCTTCTTCTTAGGACGACCTTTCGGTCCATCAACTTCTTGCTCTTCGATTAATTTCACAATGTTCATGCTTTTTTCCGAAACTTTTCCGAACACAAGTGGATTTGTTGGAGTCTGATCGAGGCATAATTAACAACATAAATTACTAACATATATATATATATATACAAAAATACGTACGTGTATCTATCTATCTATTTAATTATTTTTTTTTATCTACACATATATATACGATAACAACAATTTACTCTAATTATGATTTTGTAAAAGAAGAGAGTATTTGAGGGCAAATTTTCAAAACCAAATTAAAAAAGAAAAAATAATAAAAACTTTAGGAATATTTTAATAGATAGTACTCCTCCGTTCCATAACCAAGTATCTATTTTTTCATTTTACTCTATCCCATAACAAAGTATCCATTTTTTTTTAGTAATTGTACTATCGACTTATCATTACAAATACCCTTACAACTTACGATATATTACACAAGGACCATTACCTTTATATTTATTTTAGTCATTTCTACTTTATTCCTACTGTATCCCAATATAATACTAATATTTCTACAACTACATATAAAAAGCAAATGGATACTTACCTATAGGACGGAGGGAGTATATATTTTAAGAACTTGAAAAATAAGATCGATAAGAAAATATTTTAAGAAATTAAAAATTAAATGCAGGCTTAGCTTACCATGTTGGTCAAAATGAGAAATTGGCTTCCGTAGGCGTCATCATTTTCCCTAATTCTTTTCATCACAATATTTCCAGCTCCATTTTCAGACACTACAAATTAATCTCAAATTCAGACTTTAATTTTTTTTTTTTTTAAAAAAATAAATTTAAGGAAGAAGGTAAGGTGTAGGAATTACTAACACTTAGTTTCCTCTTTGTATTCAGCTCCATATATGCTTCTGCCAACTTTACCCTGATAAGTTTATATATATATATATATATATATAGTGGTAATACAAATTTATCTTGATGTTGTTTGGTTCACTTCTATTTGAGATTTTTCAAAATTTCTACAATTTGACAATTCAAAAATTTTAAACTCATGATCTCGTGATCATGAAATATGAATCCATGGCACACACAAGTTATGTCTTACATGTCACACACTATGGCATCCAAATTACTTTTATTTTTTTTATAAAAATAGAATAAAATCTAAAATTTATAATAAACATAATTATTTAACATGATATTCTAAAGTGAAAGTAATAAAGTAAAAAGTACTTAAAAGGAAAAAAACTAAAAGCATAACATAACCTTGAATGTTTTTTAATAATAGTATTTTCGAGTTGATAATATGTGTCAATAGCCCAATATCTACTACATAACCTTGGTTAATATAATTAAATGTATTTATCGATAATCCTTATTCCATAAATTAAACAAAATATATATTCATCTTAATTTCCATATTATATTATTTCTTTCTATAAAGATTTTAATTCATAAAGCATTTTGAAATCCCAAGTTTATCTAAACAAACCCACAGAAAAAAAGTAATGTTCTGGAATGCAAAATAATATGAATAAGAAGGCTTACATTTCCATATCGAAAAGCGCCTCCATGAATATAGAAATTCTTTATAACATGGTCGAACGTGGAACCTTTGTACCCGAACCCCTTCTCCCCTGTTCAATCAAAAGCTCAAAGAAAATCGAGTGAGAGTTAAAATCAACAATAGATAATGGAAACATGTCGTGGTAATATTATTGACTTGCACCTGTGCATAGAGCTCGAAAGTTTTCGACAGTTTTTGGCGCAACCTTACCATACAGTTCAATCTCAATTCTGCCTCCAAGCTTCTCTTTTGGTTCTCCAATCCTTACTTCAAGATAAACTCTTTTAGTCACTTCGGGTGCCTGGATTATTAAGAACAATGTAGATTGTTACTTATGAAGTATCATGAAAAGAATTGGAAGCTATCACTTATTAGGATTGAGTAATGCTTGGAAATTAAGGGGGTGTTTAGTTTAGATGATGGATTTGCAGAAAAATTATAGAACGAAGGAATCGAGGAGAAACTGAGAATTAGTTCCCTTATTTGGTAAAATAGAAAATTTAGTTGAAAAATATACAAAATGCAGCTATTTGAATGGATTGAACATGAATAAATAATTAATTAGACAAAAGAAAATCTTAACGAGACTTTTTTTTTTTAAAAAAAAATATAAATTATATAAGATGTTTTGTAAGATTAGTACAATTTTTTAAAAAATAGTAAAAATTAAATATAATTTTTGTAAAGTTGAAATAATATAATTTTAAAAAGTTACTGCTAACATTTATTTCTCCCTATTTTATTTCTCTTATTCAAAAATAGATATAAACATTTTTATTTTTTTACTATCAATTCCCTATACCAAACACACTCTAAATGAAATTACAGAAGAGCATGGGGAACAAAGTTTATCATGGGAAATAGATGAATGGTAGCTTATTGGCTTTACAATATTTTGGAAGAAAGTGACATTATCTCCATCTTTCATTTATTTTTTGAGTGTTTGATTTTTTAATATTAATTATTATATCAAAACGTAATATAAATTAAAAAAAATATTTTCATTAATGTATACTAATAGAAAAAAATTTGTATAAAAAATTATATAAAAATATTTTTAATATTAAATTATAACATTGTAAAAGATAAATATAACCCTTAAACTGATGTAGAGAATACTTTTCTTCTGATGGATGATAAGCTACAATTGGTGTTATTCTATCACCCCAAGCATTAGGCGATGATCAAAATTGTTCAAACACTTCCAAAATTTGGTATTATTCTATTATTCAAACATCAGGCGCTAATCAAAACTGTTCAAACGAAACTTTGATTGCCAGGAACAGCAAAAATCAGAGTACTCGGATAATCAAGCACAATATACTTTCGTTTCTCTGAGGATTTTACTGCACTGCTCAACGTGTTTATTAACCAATGATTCATTATTCAAAGTTTCAAACAATTCAAAAATTTAGTAATGCTTCGGATTCGTTTAGCATAAACAGTTGTATATTTTCACCTCTCCAGAATTCAAACAGTGAAATCAGATGAGAGAAGCGATCAGATGCACAATTCATAAAACCTAACTAAGCTCGGAGACGAGGAAGACGATAAGCAACTTAAGAGCGCGTGAATCGACAGGATATGAAAATTAACTTTTCGAATGCAGAAGATATTCTCAAACTACACCAAAATTGGAAAATAATTGAATTAACTCCATCGAAGAGACATACCTCGCCAGTGATTCGGATTGAGAAAGTCCTGCAATCCATTCCGCGCCGAACTGGACAGAGTAGATGCAAAGGCGAGAGGCTAATCGAAGCAGATGAGAATCTAGCCGGTGAAACCAACCGGATCTCAGTCTTCCGAAAGCTGGAAGACGGAAAAGAGCATGCTGCGATCGGTGTTGTTCTGGTACGCGAGAAATTCGTCGGATCTGAAACTGAGCTCCTGCTTAACTGAAACTTAACCAAAAAAAAAAACAGAGAAAAACAAATTCAATGTACAGCGCCAACAAATTTATAACAATAAACCGTGAACTGATCCAAATTAGGGTTTGGAATGTAAAGCTGTCCGCACCAGAGACGCAGAGGGCACCGCCATTGTTGCAGCGGAGGTGCAATTGTAAATGGCTGAAGATTGGCGGGTATACACACGCACATGCATATATATATATAGACACAGCTCACACCTAGTGTGTTTATTTAGGATATTGGATTTTATATATACTATTCATTCTATTTTTTATCCCAAAAATATATAATTAAACATCTATTTTTTATTTTTTATATTATACTAAAAATCAATTTTACATTCAAAATATCATACAACTATTCAAATTCAAAATTTTTACTATTCAAATCCCAATTCAAAATTCAAACCCCAAAAAAACACACCCTTAATGTATTCTTTCTTTTAACGTTTATAATAAAGATACGCATCATGTATAGAATGTTTGTTTGTATTTTCAATAATAATAAAAATAATGCGTTATCAAAATAAGTAATAATAATTAAAAAAGAAAAAAAGAATTGCATTGCTATTTTTATTTATATATATTTTGGCGTGTATATCTTAAATCATTATTTTATATTAATATACGGTCCAAATAAAAAGAAAAAATAAAATTACGTATTGTATAATACAAAAGATAATAACATTTTATATATAATATATTATACAAATATATATTTTTTAAGATTAAATAACAGTGTGTTTCTTTTGATTAAATTTGAAAAATTTTAGTTTATTTGATATTAAAATAATATTCGATAAAATATTGTATGGGAAAAAAAAGTAAAATTGAAAAAAAAAAAAAAAATGGGGTAAAAAAACATAAAACATTCTCAAATTATTTTTTCTATTTTTTATTTTATAACCACTTTTTAAATTTTTATGTGTGTGGGTGTTGTCAGTTGTGTCTTTATTATATTCCCGTCCTTGTCCTTTGGTATTTTAATTAACCTCTACAGAAGAAAAGAATACTTGTGCTGTGTGATCCTCGTTTGTGAATTTACACCATTTTTATATTATTATTTTATATATTATAGAATTAAAATTTTATTTTATATTTAAAATATAATATGAAATATAAGAATTTGTTTAATTATGATTTGAAATTAAATGGTAATTGAATTTTTATTTAAATAACATTTTTAATATAATATTTTGTAAAAATAAATAGTATTATATCTTTATTGAAAATTATATTAATTCAATAAATCTTATTTGAAATTAAAAAACAAACAGGTACCCCTTAAATTTACTTTGTATAAAGAAGATATAATATCATTCTCTCGGTCCCACAAGAAGATTGTTATTAATTTTTTACGTATTGATATTTAAATATTAATTATTATATCAATACGTAATACAAATCAAGAGAAAAAGACAAAAATATACTCCATCTGTCCCAGATACCATGTCCACGTTGCCGTTTCTGTCGGTCTCACATGCCATGTCACTTTCAGTTTTTGGAAAATGATTACACACTTTAATCTTATTTTAAATTTTTTTTTTTAATTTTAATTAAACTAATTAGTTATCTTAATCTTAATTTATAATTATTTATATTATAGGATAATTATTTTTATTAATACATTCTTAATTATTTACTAATTACACTCCTCCTAAAATACCGTGTCCAGGACACGATTATCGGAACAGAAGGAGTATTTATTAATCTCTTATAATATGAATACAATAACGTTTCAACTATGATTTTTATTATTATCAAATTATTGTTGGAGATATAGGATTTTTATAATGATTTTGTTCGTAGTGTTTTGAAGTAATACAATTTATATTATTTTAAAAATAAAATATATAAATATTAATATACTAAGATATATATAATAAATACTTTCTTTATCTAATTTGAAGGTATATATATTTTGTTTTTATTTTTTATATAAAAGTAATAATGTGATGATAATGTAAAATATTTGTGAAAAAAATAAGATATTTTTAAAATTATTATTTTGTAATTTGACGGTCTAAAATAAAAATATGTATACTTAGCGAGTTGATGAAGATAATATATTTTATCTATTTACAAAAACAGTTCAATACAATACATTTTTTTATATTATCAACATAATTCTACGTATTAGCATAAAAACACATCTATTAAAATTACAAAGTGTTGTTTTCAAAGATAAAATAATTTTTGTCTTTTATATATATGTCATCGAAGCTTTGACTAATTAAATCGTGGCAAGAATCCAACGGTGTCGAAAAAATGCCAAGGTGAATGTTTGAGACGAAACATTGATCATTGTTATTGAAATTTGTTGTATGATTATCGATTTCACCTTAATTAAAATTAAAATTTAAAAAGATACGCATCATTTATTTATTCTAAAGTCAACCAACATATCTCAGTGGGATACCAATACGGAATCAGTGACTGAGCTAGTAAGAGAACTGAAGGGTGTTCGGCTCACTTAATTATTTAAGTTTTATATAATTTTAAAATTTATTTAATTGGTTACTCCTATAAATTTAATAAAATTATTATTATTATTATTATTATTATTATTATTATTTAACTCAACATTTAAAAAGATTGGTTTAAATATTTCAAATATTTGAAAAGAAAAAACAAATAATGTTTCTAATTTTTTTATTGTATTATATTATTTTAAAATTATTATATATTATTTATACAAATATAATTTTGGCCTCCGCCAAATTTTTTTTCTAAATCTGCATAATGTTCTAATTATGATACCATATTAAGTTACTATCTCTCTTAAAAGTTTAAGCTAAAAAATTTTAAGTACATACGTGCATGCGCACTCATCTCAAGACCAAAAGAAAAAATTCGTTATTTTATTAAATTTTATTAATTTTTTAGTTATTAATAACTTTTTTAAAAATATTAAATTAAATATTTATTTTTACTTTTTTATTTTATACTTAAAAATTAATTTTATATTTAAAATATTACATAATTATTTATATCATATAATCCAATTGTTAAAATTCAAATTTTTGGTATTACCTCTGTTATGCAAAAAGAGCAACATTTGTTTTTATACGTAAATTTTTAATATTAGTATTTTATTAGTTTATAGTAAAAAAAACAAAAATACTCTTGTTAGATTGTATGATATCAAAGTAATGATATTTATATAAAATATTAAAATTTATAAAAATATTAATTATGTTAAGTAGGTAGTACAATTACTAAATTAAAAAATAATATCATTTTTTCAAGTGGACAAAATGAAAAATAATATCTTTTTTAGGAGATAGATAGAATATTTGAAACACTTCCATAATTAGTCTAATTGACAATTAATATAACCAGTTAATTATTTTTTCCAACTCATCTCTCAACTAAAATAGATTTTGAGAGAGATGAATAAATGAAATATTAATACTCCCTTCGTCCCATAAATATAGTATTAATTGGGTTGAATACGAAACTTAAGGAATATTGATATTACATGAGTAGTTGGTAAAAAATTAGGAATAATTTTTTTTTTTTTCCTTGTGAGTATATTAGGGTAAAAAGTAATAACAATTGTGTAATAAAATAAAAAATAAGGGTATTTTATGATGATACGGTTATTTATAGAAATAAAATATTATTTTAAGACGAACAAAAATGATAAATAAGGAATGTAATAGTATATTAATTATAAAATTGCACCCAAACTTGTTTGAGTTTTCATCTATATTCTGCAAGTATTAAATTCTATGGGTTTCTTTTTCTTTTAAATTTTTAATTTTTGTTTGAACCCCACATTATATATACATATTTATAACATATCATATAAAATATTATAAATAAAAAACTTAGTGTTTATATTTTGGGGATTTTTTAAAGTCTAATTATTCAAAATTTATGATTTTTTAAATAAATTATTTTATTTAATAAAATATTACATTTAGAACACTATTAAAATAAATAAATACAAAATAAAAAAAGTTAATTTAAATAAAACATATAATTCTTTCTCAAAAGATGGCGTCGCCCGGACTCGAACCGGAGACCTTCAGTGTGTTAGACTGACGTGATAACCAACTACACCACGACACCTTGTTGATAAGCTTCAACATGTCTACGTCATAACCCCAGTAAGATGAAGTTGCCTTTTTCATGTAGTTAGGAGATTCGGCAGGGATTACTGCGATTTGACAATGGCGGCGGGGCTTACTTCTTTGCAGTTCGTGCTTTTCGCAACCGTGTTCGGATCCCGAAGCTTCGGAAGTTGCAGGCCGTACGCGACCTACTATTCGAAGAATGGAACACGTTGTACGGCCAGTGGCTCCGGCTTGTTTAAAGTGATTGATTCACATTTGCACGTCTGGGCGACGCCTGAACAGGTTTACATTCGCGCTTTCTACTCAGGAAATTTCTTGAGGAGTTTGATTTTATCTCTTGCTGATTTTGCAGGCTGCGAAGAACTACCCGTATTTTCCAGGTAAGGAGCCGTCGGTGCCGGGGAATGTGGAATTGCTGCTCAAGGTATGAACTCGATTTTTTTTTGTTTTTTAATTTGAATTTGTGAAAACATTGACGTGTTTTGGATTGATTGGATTAATGGTTAGGGTTTCTGATTGATTTGATTAATGGCGGATGATTCTGTGATTAGGATTAGGTCATTTATAGAAGAACTGTAACCTTTGAAATTCAAACAGGTGTGAGTTGAAATTGGAAGTTAACGATACATAAACAGATGTTTGATATCTTATGTTCATCACCAAAATTCAGGACTGTTTTGTGACTGAAAATTAGAGCCGGAAATGGGGATTGAATTCTTTAAACAGATTGAAAAATCCAATTTTAATCCGGCCGCTTATTATCGTCGTAGGTTTCATGTCTAACCCTTATACATAATCAGATTAAAATTCTTGACCCAAATCCAATTATTTCGTGTCGGATTGTCGTGTCGGGCAGTTTTTGCAAGCTCTACTGAAAATCATTGCTGATTGGACGATTTTAGGGATTAGTAAAACTCTTTTTTTTTTTTTTTTTTTGTGTGTGTTTGTAGAATATGGAAGAGGCTGGTGTAGATGGTGCCTTCATAGTGCAGCCCATAAATTATATGTTCAACCATTCCTATGTATCGAGGTTAGATTTGTTAACACTTGTTTGTGTAGCATGAGTTGGCATGAATCGTATTCGCATTGAATTGAATCGAATGATACTATGTTCGATTTGGTATTTGTGAAACTATTTGAAATTTGATTTGATTCGTATCTTAACTGCAGTTTGTATTTGTGTTCATATTGTTTGGTTCCATTCGAATTTTGAAAGTATGTTCTTAATAATATCATTTACATGTTTGATTCTAAAGTCGATTCATTTTGAAGCTATTCGATTAAAATTTTCGTGATTAAATTTTTGCAAATTAACACATAAGTTCTTTTATTTTACTCCTGTTTAAAATATTATTGTATAGTTTGGTTTAATTATACTATATACCCCTCGGACGTCTAATTCTATGTTTACTTTTCTTTTCGGATTGTCATGAAAAATTTTTTGTTTCTCTTTCGATAACAAATCGTGGGTAAAGTTATAAATAAATTTGCTTTGCTTTATTTAATTTAGAAAAATATATTTGCTATAATTTATACTATATATAATTTTATTTATTATCTAGTCGAATATAATTTGTATTCAAACTTGAATTACAAAATATCAAAATTTCAACAACGCCAACATCGAATCGAGCAAAATTATTTGATTGTTTATAAGTCAACAAAGTGATGTTTGCTAATTTTTTATTGATTTCATCCTTTGGTTGGAATTCATATGTGATCGAACCTTGGGTAGTAGACTTTTACTAGCTTTCACTATCTACTCTGTCCATTTCAATCTCGGTGAATACGATCTCTTAAAGTATATATTTGGACAGCGTGTTGAAGAAGTATCCTTCGAAATTTATTGGTTGTTGTCTCGCCAATCCAGCTGAGGATGGGACGGGGATCAAACAGCTGGAAGAACTTATTTCCAAGGTCTAAATAAATGGCCTCGATGTTATATTTTAGTGTTGTAATTTCATCTTTTTGGAAATTGTTGTGTTGATGACTTATACTGCTTCAGGATGGTTATCGTGCCGTGCGATTCAACCCGGAATTGTGGCCGTCTGGTCAGTCGGTACGTCTCTGCTCAAGAAACTCGAACAACACCTCTCCAATCACTTTCACGATCTACTTTTTATTTGTTAGATAACGTTCTTTGCAGATGACAAATAAGATCGGGAAGGCCATGTTCGCGAAAGCTGGGGAGCTCGGAGCTGCAGTTGGTTTCCTATTAATGAAGGTTTCGAAATTTATTTCTAGAACATGACTTTAACTACTATTCCCTCGTTCTCTTAACAATCTATTCATTTTTTTATTTTGGTCTGTTCCGTAATAAAGTATTCATTTTTTTTTTAATAACTGTAGTATTGTAGTATGTATCTAACATTACAAATACCCTTCCAATTTATGATATATTACACAGTAACACAAATGTCATTAAATTTATATCGTACAATACTAATAAGGTTAATTTAGTCTTTTTACCTTTATTTATACATCTCCGTACAAAAAGCGAATGAATTGATAAATATGGGACAGAGAGTATTTCTCATTTCTTGATTTTGTACGTGTGCAAAAAAATTAACGATTTACCATATCGTAGCTGTGTTGCGCATAAACACATTAGCTTTATTTTGCACATTGTACTGAAACTTTTCATTTCCAGGGTCTCGAACACTATATATCAGATATCGAAGAACTCTGCACAGAATTTCCTTCTACAACCGTACTCCTCGACCATTTGGCTTTTTGTAAACCCCCAACGTAAGTGCCCAACTTTCACATTTCGATGAGATTTCAACCACTAAATATGCATTACCTATCAACTTCAGTTTTGTACAATCATCTTTGCAGAAACCCCGAAGAAGAACAAGTGTTTTCGAAACTGCTAAACCTGTCCAGATTTCCACAAGTAAGCGAGTACGTTGATGCATATAATGATGATATTGAACCAAGCTACTTGATGGAGTACTTGGATTGAACTCAAAAAAATCGAGTTCGACTCAAGTATTGAGTAGCTTGAATGTAATATGGAGTCGAGTTATGAGCACCAATTCTGTTGCTCGCAAGCTTGTCAAGTAGCTTGGTATGAGTTTGCATTATTATTTTTTATATGTTTGTGTTTTCAATAAATTTTTGTATTGAGCCTGCAAATATTAATTTACATTTTTTAGTAGTACTATAATTAGTTTCAACTTTCAAAGCTTATTATCTTTTACGTTTATGTATGTTTTGTATTTATATACTTCCTTCGTCCCTTAAAATAAGTATCAATTTGCTTTTTGCACAGAGTTTAAGGTGTAATAGTATTATATTGATATGTATATGAATAAAGTTGAAATGACTAAAATAATCTTATTAGTATTGTGCTAGATAGTACAGTGGTATGAGATGGACCAAAATAGAAAAATTGATAGCTTGGTATGGGACGGAGGGAGTAGCTTTTTTTAAAAAAATATGAGAGATCGATAATTAGAATTATGTTAAACACTGTAATAAAAAAAATATACTTATACTTTGTCTTTTATAGTAAAATAGAGCTCGAGTATAAACACACTTTTCCGAGCTCGATTTCAAGTTCAACTTTATCTACTCGTTCAACCTCGAGTTCGACTTTAAGAATTTGTTAGCGAGTTGAGCTTGGGTACTGTGGTACTGATGCTAAACTCTAATTGTGTATACAAAGTATGAAACTTTAAATCCTAATAATTTGTGCCTACTTGCGACAGGTTTATGTAAAATTCAGCGCTCTATTCAGATTGTCGCGACGCCCATATCCATACTCCGACCTTTCTGATGTTTTAGCCAAATTGGTCAGCAGCTATGGTGCGAATCGAGTCATGTGGGGAAGGTGACTCACAGATCATTTCAATAAATCACGGAATCTTCTATTCTTTAGCTATCCACAATCAGCGACACAATTATATTCTCTTAAGTAATGTTTACAATCGAATGATTTGCAGCGACTTCCCTTTCGTCGTAGAACAGAGTGGCTATAAAAATGCCAAAGAAGCAGTGCAATTGCTTGTCCAGCAGGCGCAGCTATCGACTTCTGATAAGAAATGGATCATGGGGCGAAGTGTCGATCGAGTCTTTAGCTGCGGGTGGTCTTCTTGACCCGACCAGGTGCGTATTTATCGTATAAAACTAAGAAATAAGTCTAAAATATATATCATATTATTTAACTAAAATTCATCCTACTTATCTTAGAAAAAGAGAACAAGAAGAGGAGCTTTGGAAGAGAAGAAGAGGCAGCGCCGAAGAGAATCAGTACATAACATGCTTGCACTCTATTCTTTGAATAAAATAGACATCGGGCCAAATTTATTTTATTTTTATAATCCTCTTAGACCCACAACCCCGACACCTTTAATTTTAATCAAATTCTTTCATCAAATACCAAAAGTCCGAAAAATATTAAGCCCAAAAATAAAATTGTCCGACTTTGATTCGGACTTCGGCAAATTCCGACGAATTTTCAACAATTTATTTTATGGGATATTATGCAATAGACATTAATACTTTTGGAAGTTTGATACTATCTATCAATAGTATGTTTTTAAGATATATAAATATATATATATTACATTTGCTAGTATTTTTTTTTTTTAAAAAAAAAAATAAAACATCAAACATTAATTTTTTTACTTTTCAAATTTTAAACACTTGGAAAAGTTTTGTTAGGGTGTGTTTGTTTGGGGGTTTAGATTTTTGAGTTGGGATTTGAATAGTAGAAATTTTGAATTTGAATAGTTGTATGATGTGATATAAATAGGTGTTGATGTGATGTTTTGAATGTAAAATTGATTTTTAGTATAATATAAAAAATGAAAAATAAGTGTTTGATTTGATATTTTTTTGGAAAAAAAATTGGATGAATAGTGTAAATCCAATCCAATCTCCCAAACAAACACACCCTTAGTGTTTTATTTTTTATTTTTGTTACTCTGATACTCATTGTGCAAGCAATCTTACGGATTGTCGCTCAATAAATGGTTTTAATTTCTGTTTTCATGATCGTCGTATCTCCTTGTATAACAAGAAGAAAATAATCGAATTTCGTTTTAACATTGAATCGGAATATCATACCTTTGGTGATCCTAATCATCTCTTTTTGTTGTGCATTGCAACAATAGGAATGCTATCTATATTTCTTATAATGATACATTTTTTTTTTTTTTTTAATGCACCAAATATGTCAAGATTGATTGTTGCATTGTTTGTAATCATGTTGTTAATGGAAATGTCGGATTGTCTTTCATCTTTTCTGACAATCAAATTGCAAATGTCTTCACTAAGTCGAATCATCCTAGTCGTTTTTAATCTCTCTTGCACATGTTCAAATCGACTTCTACGACTTAAATTTGAAAAAAAATGTTGAGATATTTATTATATTTTAAATATTTAATTTATATTTTAGATTCGATTATATTGTTATTGTTTGAGTTTATCCAATCTTTTATTAACATCTCATTTAGATACTTTGGATTTCATTATTAATTAACAATGTATATAATTCTTGTCTCGGATTGTGCATATTTGTAATTTTTATTCTTCGAAAAATTTATCATTACTATAAATTTATTTGGTTAGTATATCAAACACGGATTCGTGGACAATGAACAACTAATTAATACTATGAATTTCATACAAAATTAAGTGCATATTTTTAAATTTTCATCGTTTGAAAAAGTTTACCGTTAAATTGATTTGGTTTACTATCAAACTAATAATTTCCACCAACCAAATTGAGCGTGTGTTTTAAAATTTCTATTCTTCGAAAAACTTCAAAAAAAAATAAAATTGATGTTTCTTTAAATTGAGTACTTGTTTTCAAATTTTCAACGTTCCGAAAATTTAAAAATCCCACTTCTTTGAATTGAGTGTTTTCAAATTTACAACGTTCCAAAAGCTGATATAGTCTGCGTCTTTAAATTTAGTGTTTTCAAATCTACAATGTTCCAAAAACTTAAAAAGCCCGCTTCTTTAAATTGATTATTTTCAAATTTACAACGTTCTGAAATGTTATAAAGCTCACTCCTTTAAATTAAGTGTTTTCAAATTTCAAATGTTCAAAAATTTAAAAAGTTTTACCGTTATTTCAAATCGAGCGTTTATTTTCAAACTTTCAACATTCCAAAATCTTCAAATTCAAATATTAGGAAACAAGTCCAAACCCACAACCCGACCCGATAATCCGAACCTGATCCATATTATATATATATATATATCACCTCCTTCGTCTAGTTAATCGTCTCTCTCTCTCTCTTCTCTCTCTTCTCTCTCTCTATATATACATAATATATATAAAGAAATTCATAATAGAGAACCGCCGAATCCTTGTTTTGTTTCCTCAATTTTTTTGCCGCCGCAGGTAGAGAGAATCGATATGCCTGAGAAAATCGTGCGCCGACGTCAGCAAGTCGTATCAATGACGAGTAGTAGCAGCAGCGGCGGCGCCGGCGCCGGCGGTGGTTCCGCCTTCATCTCCAGTTCTGATTCCGATTCCGATTTCGACGATGCCACGTGGCCGCGCAAGAAGCTGAGAGTCGAATCGATTCTGCCCGCTGGATTTCTCGATCCGATTTCCGATCGGACGGTCGAAATTAACGGCGCGAAAATCGTGAACCCTGCGAAGAATTGTTCGAAAGAGAAAGTCGTGAAGAAAGAGAGAGGAGTTACTACACTCGCTTTGGCCAGGAATTGCCGCCAGTTTTGGAAAGCCGGCGACTACGACGCCGACTGCGGCGGCGCCGTCGCGACCTCCGCCGCCAATGACCGATTTTCCGATGGTACGTTGTTGACGAACCTTTGCTATAATTTAATTTTAGTTTCAATTTGGAATTCTTTTTTTTTTCAAAAAAATAAATAAATAAATTAGGGTTTAGGAATTGGGGATTAGGGGTTTATGCATGCAAGAATTTTATTAATCAAGATGACCAAGATCTTCAAATCCAAGTTTTTGTGGCAACATAATTTTTTTTAACGGACACGAAGACTTAGAAATAATAATATTTTAATATCAAAGTATAATGTGCAAAAAGCAAAGTGTCAGTATTATAAAAAAATTATCAAAAAAGCATAGAATAAAAAATGAATGTCACATAGTTTTGTCTGATGAAAATAGTATAAAAAATTATTTCAATTCAAATTTGGAATGTCATAAAATTCAAATCCAAATCCTAACTTAAAAGAATTATGGATGTAACTTATTTTCATGTAGCGTTTTTAAGTTAATAACAATGTCGATATTCGATTCGATTCGATTGCACAGTTGACATGGATCATGTTAGGGTTCATCCAAGATTCTTGCATTCAAATGCTACAAGCCATAAATGGGCTTTGGGAGGTTTGCTTATATTCAAATGCTATTTTTTTTTTTTTACTTGCATTGTTGTTCTTAAGTTTTATTTATAGTTAGTTTTCTTGATCGAATGTTTTCGCTATCTCCAATCCAGCTTTTGCAGAGCTTCTCGATAATGCTCTAGACGAGGTACCTTCGATTCCCATATATCTCTTAAAAAAAATCCTCTTTTAATTTAATCGATTGCTCGATCATGAACATACGTGTTTTTTGATAGGTTTGTAATGGAGCAACATATGTGAGCGTTGATGTGCTCGAGAACGATAACAATAGCCACAAAATGGTGGTAGTTCAAGGTGTGTATATATATTTATATGTATGGAAATCGGTATATTGTAATCTTATACACAAACATATGGCTATTGTTGAAACATGTGTTACTGTCAATAATATAGTACTTCATTCCGTTTCGAACACCATGCAATATTTCATTTTTGGTATGTTTCAAATACCCTGCAATATCTCCAAATTAGAAAATAATTAATCATACTTAATCTATATTTCCACACTTTATCTCATCACATCACCCTAATAAAAAAATAAAATATAAACTTCTTTCTCCATCACATCACCTAATTACTTAATTATCCTATTTAATACTTCTCACCTAAAATCTCGTGCCCGACTTAAATGTAGCACATTGTTTGGGACGGAGAGAGTATTATATATTGCGTTGTGTTAGTATCGTAATAATGATATAATATGAACTATTATCATGTACTATCAGTTCATATATTACATTTGTAATATTTTAATATAAATTATATACTACATTCATCCGGCTCTAAGGGTTTCAATTATTTTTTTTTTACGTATTGATCTTTGAATATTAATTATTATATCAAAATATAGTACAAATTAAAAAAAAAATTCAAAAATACTTTAATTAGTGTCTTATAATACTAATAGAAGCATATGTGTACAAAATTTTTTACAAATATACGGATATTTTTAATATTAAGTACAATTATGCAAAAGATAAATGTGACCTTAGAGGAGGCGGTAGGAAGAAGTATTATTTATCTAACAATAGTCAAATTGTGTTTAATTTATTCAGTAGTTTTGATATGATATTTTATAAAAAAAAAAAAAAAAACCTATATTTATTGAAAATATTTTGTATGTTTTGAGTAGAATCTTCGAGTTGTCTTGACAATATTGTTCCTTATTATGTTCGATCTAGTCGTGTAAGAACATGCGATTTTTAAGTTTCCATATAGCACTTGTGTTTTGATTCGAACATATTTTGCGTATATATGTAGACAACGGCGGCGGCATGACTCCAAATAAAATGCGCCAATGCATGTCCCTCGGCTATTCGGCGAAGAGCAAAATGGCGAACACAATCGGACAATGTAGGGCGTGCAATTAATTCTATCGCCATATCTATGCTAATATATATATATATATTCATCGATCCGTAGATCGTGCTTTTGCGCAAGCTTTATTCTTCGGTATTGTTACTAATTTATCTTTTCGCATTTGCAATAGACGGTAATGGCTTCAAGACTAGCACGATGAGGCTCGGCGCAGATGTTATCGTGTTCTCACGGTGTCGAGGAATGTACGGAGAAAAGTAAGTCATTGTGTTTTTACTATTCATGATTGATTAGTTTTGTATATTTAGCCTTTGAAAATAGCCGTTGTGTCGTAGGCCTACACAAAGCATCGGATTGTTGTCCTACACATTCTTGCAGAACACCGGGAAAGAAGATATAGTCGTTCCAATGGTATGTTTCGATATTTTCCATATATATATACGAGCTTGTAGAGCTGGTAACGAGTCGAATCGAGTTTTTTTAATTTTCACAAATAGATCGATTATGACCGAGGGGAAAGGACTTGGATCAAACACGAAAAATCTTCCGCTCACTCTTGGCAACGAAATCTCGAAATCATCCAGCAATGGTCGCCGTTCGACAACTACAAAGATCTTCTTCGTCAGGTAGCTTTCGAATCGATGACTAAGAACATATACTATTCCTAGATGATCAAAAATTTTTCGTTTTCTCCTCTGCAGTTCGATTTCTTGGAAGAACAAGGAACCCGGATCATAATCTACAATCTCTGGGAAGACGACGAGGGATCGCCTGAATTGGATTTCGACACAGTCGAACATGTTCGTTTCTAATCTCTTCTCGTTGACTATATCTTCATCGTTTATTGTCGAATTTTGTATCCGTTCATTTTCTTGTCGAACAGGACATACAAATTCGAGGAGCCAGCCGAGACGAGAGCCAGATAGAGAATTCGGAACTATACCCGAGCTCGAGACACTTTTTCACTTATCGCCATTCGCTGAGGGTACGAATTCCCTCTTTGACTTTTTTTCCGATCTTCCCATCGATCATCCGGATCGCTCATTTTGATCTCGTTTTGAATGATTGTTGCAGAGCTATGCTGCCATTCTGTACCGCGAGATTCCACCCGGATTTCGCATCGTCTTACGGGGCATTGACATCGAGCATCACGATATAATCGACGATATGATTTACCCCCAAGAGATGCATTACAAACCGGCAGTTCACGCAGCATCGAAAGATCCGAACGTAAGCCTTTGCATACGTACATTTGTCGTTTTTTTCCCGATTTCACGTCTTTTCTTGTTCGATTTCCTTGCATCGACTCAGATGTCCGCGACGGGGGTGATTGGATTCATCAAAGACGCGAAACACCATATCGACGTTCAAGGATTCAACGTATACCACAAGAACCGCCTTATCAAGGTTCGATCGATGCGCTGTAACTCTCACTGTTTCGATTAATTTACGACTTCGAACTCGACTTACGCCCGCTGGGTGTTTTTCGATTTTTCTTACAGCCTTTCTGGAGGGTTTGGAACCCAGCCGGAAGCGACGGCAGAGGAGTCATCGGTATGCCGTCCATCCCTATCGTTGCATCGAACGCATTTTATCGACGGTCATCTTAACGTTGGTCGTTTTTCAGGTGTCCTCGAAGCGAACTTTGTCGAGCCAGCGCACGATAAACAGGGATTCGAGCGAACGACCGCCCTGTCTCGACTCGAGTCGAGACTTATGACCAACCAGAAAAACTACTGGTTTCTCACCTTTCTCAAAGTTCTGTTTCAAACCGTCGGTTTCCATTTTTATGATTGATTTACGCTTTCTGCAGGTCCCGGAATTGCCATCTCATCGGCTACGCTCAGCGGCGCGGGCCCAAGAACTGTGCTTCACCCGAGCCAGAAGCTTCGACTGGCGGTAAAAACAAATCCGGCCGTAGGAAAAACAAGACGACGATCATCAGCGACGATGCTTCCGCAGAATTGTCGCCGGAGCCGGGTGGCGCATCTTTGCCGGAGCCAAGTCCGATATCTTCGGTGAAAGCACAAATGGCGTCTCCGAGGACAGGGCGGATGAGCTTTCGATTTGAAACGCAGATTGTTAGGAGACCTAGAAGCATTCGAATCGCTTCGCCTCTGAAGAAAACTTCGAGAACAGAGACTGCAACGGTTCCGATCAAGGTATTCTTCTTCGATTACTTGTCTTGAATTAATCATTTTCGTGTGAGTAGAGAGGCTTAGGAACTTTAACAAGTAATCGATGAATGGTTTTTTCTTGAAATAGATCAATGAGACCGCCTCGACCGATTCGAAAGGAGGCGAACCGGAGGCGGCGACGATTATTCCTGTTACAAGTGAAGATCTTCATAAGCTTAGACAGGAGAATGAAAATTTGACGATTAGGTAAACATTTGATCGATGAAATTCTGAAATTTTCGATATACCTAACTTTTTTAACCACAGAACACCAAAATTCACAAAGCATGGTAAACAATTTATATATGTTAGATAGATTTGGCATTCAATCTTCAATTTCGATTTGCAGTTTAAGGAATGCTCTGGAAGATCTACAGCACCAAAAGGACGAGAACAATTTGCTACAAACTCAGGTAAAAACAGAGCAAATAACACAATAAATCGTTCCATTCGATCGATCGATTAACAAATGTGCTATGCTATGGCTTCGCGCAGCTCGAAGAGGCGAATCGAAAGGTGGAACAGTTGGATCGAGAAGAGGAAATGTTTGTGAGCTCATTTGCAGAAGAAAGAAGGCGACGCGATGAAAATGAAGCGACAATCAGGAAGAAATTACAGGTAGGTCTAACCAGATAGAATCGAATCGATCTATGGTAATGGTATGGTGAAATTAATCAATGTAATCTGACCTCGTGTGTGCTTTCGATCCACTCGACGACGACAGGAGGCTTCGGAAACCATTGAAGCGTTGCTGGAGAAGGTGAAGAAGATGGATGCCGCTGCAGCTGCAAATGCGTGCCGCCATAACCATTGCCGCTAGGGCTTTTTCATATAAACGTACTAAGTCAATAACTTTTTTAAAAAAGAGTAGATTTAAGGAGTCCCGGAACTCCTTTATTGTAAATTTAAGGATTTTGAAACTAATAATTAATTTTATAGTAAATTATTTCACAATTTTCAACAATATTTTAAAGAGTTGTGAGAACTTTTCTTTTAACTGTATATATTAATTTAAGAAATCATCAGTATACTAATTTTTCTAAATAATCATAATAATTATTCCTTATTATTTTAATATATTATATAATTATGAAATAATTAATCAATATCGGATTTTAATTAGTTAAAGTAAATAAGTAATTGGGATCTAAAGTAAACACGCCCATGAGGTATTAAAAATTTGAGAAAAGAAACTAATTAAAATGGATTATACTTTATGTTAACATTATAATATTAACTTCAAAAAGGATTAAAGAACAAATTATTTAATTTTCTATTGTTCTAGGTGGATAGAAAGTGAAAGAGGCTGCATTAAATTAAAAATAAAATAAAAAAACCTAGTAATTAATAAACTTAATTATGTGTGTTTGGTTTATGTAATAAAACAATCATTAAATGCAATCTTTTGTGAAATTAAAAAATTTATGGTACTGAAAATAAATTATTTGTTAGTATCATTGAATTTCTTCGATCCTACATTTGTAACTCGCCCTAGAATAATAATTATTGGAGGCACTTTATTTATTGCTACATGTATATTATCTGCTCTCATTTAATGTTGTTATTATTATTATTTCATGCATACATGCAGAATTGAATAAATAAAAATTAAAATAACAAGAAATTAACATTTAAACATGAGATGAAATTAACCGAACCATTAAATACAAACTACAGTCTGCCAAAAAAAAAAGAAAAAAACTCACAAATTAAAACCCCATTATCAAAATTCATTTTTTTAATAAAAATAATAATACATATTATAATTAATTAATTCAGAGCCAAAGCGCCCCTGCCTCGCGGAGGAGCGGGACCAAGGTCCCGCCAATGTGGGCGGCGACGACGCTGTCCATAGCGCCGATAAGTTTGCCGCCGATAAAGACAAGCGGCACGGCGGCGCCGCCGCCGAGCATCCTTGAGAGGGCCCGCTCGAGGTCCTTGCCCCTGGGGTCCTGGTCCACCTCGTAGACCGTGGGGTTGACGCCCATGTTAGAGAGGAGGCTCTTGACGGCGAGGCACATGCAGCACGTGCTCTTGCTGAATATGACGACGGCGCCGCTCGACGCCGCCCGGAGAACCCAATCCGACACGTCGCCGGCGGACGGCGCATAGTAGCAGCTTCCGTCGTCCGTTTGGTATTCCATCGCCGGAATATTCCGTCTGAGGGCTTTTTGGTAATTTTCGGTTTCGAGGATTCCGAGAATGACGAGTGGAAATTGGATTAAGAAAGTGTAAAGAGAAAGATACGTTGGAAATTGATGTGTTTGAAATGATGCGATGGAAGGGAAGTATTTATAGCGGGGTGGGGTGGGGTGGGGGGGTAGGGGGGGTTTGTTTTTGTTTTGGTATAGTTTTTGTCTCATATTGTCTGAAACGCGTGCGTGTACGTACGTATGTGTGTGTGGTCATTAATTAGGGCATTAATCGTGGGACATTACAAAGACATGCCCTGCAGACATGTAAGGCGGCTGTAGGATAGGAGAAATAACCATTGGTTGTCCCGCTATAGCTGACAATGGATCGATTTGTGTTGGATTCATATCGAATTGAATATATTAAACGGATTAAATTATTTAATTTTAATTTGATTTGTTTATTATTTTGTTGAATTTTTGTGGAGTCGTATACATAATTGAGTCGAAATTATTTATTAAAATATAAATTTTTTTTTCGAATTGTTGTATTATGTTAAGTTTTTTCGATTTTAGTGTTGTGTATAGTGAATATGATAAATTATTTAAAATTGGAATTGGCTTATATTAATATGTAGGTTAATTATCAAATTATAATTATTTTACATATATAATAAATATATTAACTAATCTTGATTATATTATAATCGGATTGTCGTGTCGAATTCGAGTCGAGAGAATCTACCCTAACCCGACATGTTTATTATCGTGTCGGATTTGTGGTAACCCATATACATAATCAAATTAAAATCTTTGACTCAAATCTAATTATTTTATGTTAGATTATTGTGTCACGTCAATTTATTGAGTTATGAGATATTTCTTCCGTTAAAAGTGAAAATATACCTCTATTTTCTTTTGTAGTGTATTAAAAATAATAATATTTTATTAATTAATAATGAAAGTACATGTGATGATTTTGATATTCTTATTTTTTAAAATAAAAAAAATAAATATTTTTGTAAAAATTATACCTCTTTTGATATTTATATATGATGAATTGTATTATAATTGGAAATTGACGGTATTTTAAATAAAACAAACAAAAATAGTAAATTAGTACAATGTGTTGGGACGGTAAGTATTATTTAATGATAAGTGAATTTATAAGTAATATTTCATCCGTCCGCCTCTAAGGATCACATTTATATTTTTCGTTATTATACTTAACATTAAAAATATCATTATATTTGTATAATTTTTTACAAATGTTCTTCTATTAGTATTTATTATAAGCCACTAATTGAAGTATTTTTAAAATTTTTTATTAATCTATACTACATTTTGATATAATAATTAATATTCAAATATCAACGCGCAAAAAGTAATTGAGATCCTTAGAGCCGGACGGAGGTAGTATATTTTTAAAAACTATCAGTGTAGTTGTCTAGTACTTTTAGTAAAAAGTGTTCTTTTATACTCCCTCAATTTCAATACAATAGTCTTGTTTACTATTTTTGTCCGTCCCAAAACAGTATTCTCATTTCTATAAATAACCATATCACTATAAAACTACCATTACTTTTTCATTATTATTACACAATTGTCACTACTTTTTACACTAATACACTCGCAAGGGCAACAAAGTCTTTTACCCGTACTTTTTATTCAGTACCAATATAATATTAATAATCCTAAAATCTCACGCAAACACAACTCAAACTATAATTCTGAGAGTATTAGATATGAAAATATACTTTTAATACAAAAAATAATATTATGCATTAAATTAATAATTTTTTACGAGTATATAAAGTATATATATTTTTATGAAAAATTACAATATAATTGAAATTTTTGGTATAATATAAATTTTATCAACTTTGAAAACTTGGGTGTAATATATAATATGCTTCGTTATTTATATGTATTTATTACAAATAATAGTAATAATAATTACTACAAGATATTTTGGGTAAACTGTATGGATCCATGCTAGAAAGGGTGCAAGGGAATGGAGTTTGGATTCTTGGGAAGTGGCGGGACTTGGGAGCCAGATTTGATGATGGATGGGCAGACCTAATTTATTTAATGTCCATTAAAAGTGGTCATTAATTACATAAATAAGAATACAGTATATTTACTTTATAGGGAGGTAATTAATTAAATAGTAATTAATTATATAAGGCAGTGTTTAATTAATGCTATTGAATTATGGGCGTTTGGACGGCTTAGCCTTTCCTCTGTCGGATTTATATTTATTTCCGAATTACCGTCACGTGACTATCTCAACTCTCATTTATTTTTAGTATATATATACTACTTGAAAATTTAAATAAATTAATTAATATATATATATATCTATATATGATTCTGTCCATAAAATTGGGGTGAGCATTTGGATTTTCGGTTCGGATTTTACCAAATTCGAATCGATTCGAAAATTCGAAATTTTTGAAAAAATCAATTCAAATCAAACCGAAATAACCGAAATCTGAAATCCGAAAATTCAAAATTCGAACTAAAAAATCCGAACTAAACCGAAAATCCGAAATTTTTGAAAAAATCAATTCGAATCAAACCGAAATAACCGAAATCTGAAATCCGAAAATCCAAAATTCGAACTAAAAAATCCGAACCAAACCGAAAAATCCGAAATTTTAAATATTTTTAATTATTTTTTTAATTTGTAAATTTCTTTTATATTTTATTATTATTTTATAATATTAAATATATATATAATATATAAAAGTAAACATATTAAAATATAATTAATAATTTTGAGTTTTTTTATATTAAAATATAATAATTTTTAATAAAATATTAAATATATATAATAAAAAATATATATTAAAATATTATATTTCAGATGTCGGATTGGTTCGGATTTTAAGTATATCGATCCGATCCGAAAACCTAAAATTTGTCAAAAATTCAATCCGAAAAATCCAAACCAAATTTTAAATTTTGGTTTAGATCGAATTTTCGAATTTCGGATATTTCGTCACCCCTACATAAAATTCTATAATTTGATTAATTTGGTGGTTAATTTCTTCCTGGGTTTTTAATTTAAATAATGAATTTGATATGACTCATTTTTGTCCCAATTTAATACTATCTCCGTCCCGGAAGAAGAGTGACGTTTACTTTTTACACGTAGATTTTTTAATATTAGTATTATATTAGTTTATAGTGAAAAAAAGACAAAAATGACCATATTAGATTATGTGATATAAAAAGTAAATGTATTAATTATGTTAGGTAGACAATACAATTACTAAATAAGGAAATTGTATCGTTGTTTTGGACGGACAAAAATAGAAAATGGTATTTTTCTTATGGGATAGAGGGAGTATTATTTTTTTAAAATAAAAAATAAAAAAAATAATACTCTCCTACGTCCGATATCATTTTTTATTTTTGTATCTCTCAAAACAACGGTATTATTTCCTAATTTAGTAATTATATTGCCTATCTAATATAATAAATATTCTTACAATTTATATTATATTAAACAAATGCCATTATTTTTATATTACATCATACTAACAGGGGCATTTTTGTCTTTTTATTTGTACCTATCTCATATAATAAATACTCTTACAATTTTACAATATATTAAACAAATTACGTTACTTTTATCATGCTATTAGGGGCATTTTTGTCATTTTTATTACAAATCAATATAATACTAATATTAAAAAATTTACATAAAAAAAATAAATGGTACTCTTATTGCGAGACGAAGATAATATTATATTCGTCCGAAAAAAATAATTCATTGAAGCTAATACAAAAATTAAAAAATAAGTATTTTATTAAACAAACAAAAAGAAACAGTAAAAATGTAGGTAAGAGTATTTTGAAAAGTAATAGTTAAATGTTGAAAAAAAAAAAATTTGCCAAAATTAATAATAAAGTAAATTTAAGGAAGAGACAGAAAAAAGAAAAATGAGAATAATTTTTTGGGATAATTAATAATCATTTTATTAATTAATAAAAGTATTTAAGATGATTTTAATATTTTTGTAATTATATATATAAAAAAAAATAAATATTTGTACAAAAATTATGAATATTTTAGTACTTATATATAAATTATTTTTACTATAATAAGAAAGACTATATTTGTCTTCAAAATTTATGTCCCATTTATTTTTTGAATTGTCATATAAATATATTTTGTACATTAAGTATTAAAGACAAAAATATCAAGATAATTTTACATAATTTTATTGACTAATAAAAAATTACTATTTATTAATTTATTATAAAATTTTAAATAAATACTTTCAAATTGAACGAAAAATTATATATATGCACAATCTATTTTATTTTAATTTTAATTTAATATTTAGAAATTCTATGATTTTTTTTCCTTTAAACTCTACCAAAGTTAATCTTACTAAATTTTACAAGACCATTTCATTTATTTAATAAAATCCATATATTATAATCCCTTGTCTCACATACCATGTACATGTTATCATTTCTGTCAGTCTCATGTTCCATGTCAATTTCCTTTTTTTAAAAATGATTACACACTTTGATCTCATTTTAAACTTTTTAATTTATTTTTTTTAATTTTAATTATACTAATTAGTTATCTTAATCTTAATTTATAATTATTTATATTATAGGATAATTATTTTCACTAATACATTCATAATTATCTACTAATTACACCCCTCCTAAAATACCGTGTCTACAGTGTAGCAGACACGATATATGGAACGGAGGGAGTAATATTTTATCTGTCCGTCATATTTATTCTTATTTCTTTAAGGACAAAAGAAAGATATATTTGTTTAATTATTAATTTTGATAAAATTAACTAATTAACATTTAACTATCACCTTCAATTCAATTCAATATTTATTTACAATAAATATCACTATATTTATTACATTCTTTTTTCTTTTACTTTAATTTCTAACAAAAAATTTAAATATACTATCAACTATTTTTATTACTTTTTATTAATTTTTTTAATAAAATATATATATAATTTTTAAAATTTCCATGCAGAACTCAAATAGACTAATTTTGAAAGTACATAGTTTATCCTTAATCAACAAATTTACATGCTTTGAATACTTTGAATTTATTTCAAGA